CCCCTTGACTCCTCCTGTCAGCCTCCTCCATCTTGCCTCCTCCCTGCTGCCTCCTTTCCACTTGCTCCGATTTTGCTGCCTCCCATTTCCGTTTCTGATCTGCCTCTCTTTGAGAACATGATGCCACTCTGTTGCTTCTAGTCTCGGACTATATGGCATGGCAGACGATACAGCCTGGAATGGCATGACCTGCCATGGCATGGCGTTGTGCATCAGAGTGCAGAAGATGCTGGCAGTCACAACAGCAAGGGAGGAGGTGCCTCAAGCCAAGCCTACTTCAAATGCGTAATTTAGGGTGAATGAGTGAGTGATGGGAATGGGATGTGCGTGAGCAATTCAGGTGGGATGAGAATGTGAGCGGGTCAGCCATCATGGTGGGAATGTGTGTGAGTGGGTGAGATTTTGGATGTGAGGAAGTGAGTGAAGGAGGGGAATAGATTTCTGTATTTTGTGAGATCTGGGGGTGGGCAGGAGTGTGTGTTTCTTTTGTTTCACCATTTACATCGCTTCCCATTGTTTCTTTTAGCATATGCAATCCCCCTTGAGTTAAAGAAGGCATGTAGGGAATGGATTCAGTTGATTTCACAAAATTCAAGCTATGCGTTCGCTTTTTTATATTCAAATCTTTACATCCTTACTTTTCTCCGCTCCTACTTTTCCTTCTCCACCTCCTCTCCTTTCCTCCTAACTTCTCACTCGCACTCATCTCCTCATCAAATTTCTCACCCCCTTATCCTTTCCATCCCTCCTGTCGTCACTCTTCTTCTCCCCATTCTCCTCACCTTCCAGCTCCTCACCTTCCTAACCTTTCTTCCTGTGAGCTGCCTCAGAACCACTCGAACTGACTTTTGCCAACCTTTATGATTGTCACGTTCATATTCCATCCTCACCACAGCTCACTTGCATGATTCGATCGCTCCAAGTCTTGTCTCCTCAAGAACTCAAAGCCTCCACATAACTTCTGCCTTGCAGCTCAGCCCCGCCATTGCGCCCACTCTTTGCACGACATAACTTAAGCTTCCAAGTCTCCGCCTCAAAGTTGCTCATTAGTTGCTGAATTGTTTTGTCCCTCTTATCCCTGACCCCCTTACTCCCACTGCCCCACCCACTTCCCCTCAGCCTTCGTGGCGCACTTGTGAATGCTACGTCCTTCTTGAGCCCTGGACCATCTCAACCAGAGACCCTACCCTAGATGTGAGAGATCTCAAGTATATTGCGGTTGATTACCCTGGTAACAGCCGAGACTGCTTATCGAGTTTCTGTTTTTTAGAACACACTCCAACTCGCCTCAAACTCATCCCCTCCTCCACTATCCTCCATCTAAATCCCCCGCCCCAATTCCTCCCCACCTCGTCCCCAAGGGATGAGTTGTAGTGCTGTCGCTTTTCCCCTCCCTTGCCTCTCCTCCACATTCCTCCAGCCCACCCCTAGTTGCTCTCATTTTTCCAAATTCACTCTGCCTGCCCCGAAACCTTCCTGCTTGCACCCGATTCTTTCTTTTGGACCCCAGTTTTCCCCCCTTGTCTTCAATTCTCTATCCCCAATGCTCACTCCATTCCAATTCTCTCCCAAACTCTCAGCATCCTCCACTCCCCATGAAATTCTCCCCCTTTCTCCTCGTCCCCGTCCTCCCGTCTTTCTCTCTCCTTTACCAGCCAGTGCCTTCCAAGGCGTTTTCAATGCACCTATGATGGCTGGGCAGCGCTGCCTGGGAGATACATTTTTCAAGGTAGCCATGGGAGTTAAGTGGAACTCCTTCGTTCATACCATACACAAGATAGTGGAGAGTGTGAATTTGGGTCTCGAAGATTGGGAAGACAATGTCAATGCGAGTGCTGCAACAGGAATATATTCTTTGAGGGTATTGGGCGTGTTCAAGATGGTCCAAAGTTGGGTGTTTAGTGGGGTTCGTCGATGTCAAGGGGCATGAGAAACTGGAGGGGGTGGGAGGGTGAGGTGGGCGAGCGGGGAAGGGTGGGCTGGTTGAATGTGGGGCAAGGGCAGGAGAGAGGGGAACAAGGAAGGGATGTGAAACGGAGGTATTAATGGTTGCTGCGCTAAGCATGAATGTGGAGAGGTCAGCACCTGTCTCTTTTCAATTCTGACTACGACCATGCCCCTCATCATCCTCTATTCATGTTCTCCTTGTAAGTCAGAATTTGGGCAACTAGACCCATTGCATCTCGCCTTGTGCCTTTACGCTCCTCATTTTGCAAGCATGTAGCTCGTCGCTCCTTAGTTAACCCTCTCCTTCAAGAGATCAGCCGCTTGTAAGAGTCTTTGTGCCCAAGATATTTAAATATTTGCGGTCACTTGTCACTTGAAGTATTTTCTAAAAACAATGCCTTTGCTTTTGGAATAGTCATTTTCATGCAACATTGTGAGATTGTACTGCATAGAATCCAAGTTTATCTTAGCTATTCTTTGGTAGAAATGTTGTGATTTTGTAAGGAACTGGTATTTTCTTATCATGGGTTTTAGTCAGTAAGGCGTACACTACTATAACAGTGTTGCCGCACAGCTCTGCCACGAAATTCAAATCGCGGTCCTAAATGTGGTCTTCTAACGAGCCGCATACATTGTTGCCTGCCTTGCTGTTGCATGCCTAGATCTGGGCGCTTCGCGTCAATTTACGAACCATACATCACAGTTCTATTGAGCCATGACCATGTGCTCTAAGCTAGCGATATCAATGCTCCCTGCTTTTTTTATGTTGTCTCAGTTGTGTTGTTTCGTCACTAATCAATCTTTCAAAACACGCTCTTTGCGCTTCATTACACCTGGTATCAGAGCCAACGATCCTCAGCCTTGCGCTCTAGTTCCGCTGCAATACCAACACTTAGGGAGGCTGACGCCCTGTGCTTACAGCATATCCGCTATTGTGGTAATATTCATTGATAATTACCTACAGCCACGACTGTGTTCGTTGTGCCAGAGGCCGAAATCCACCAAAAATTTCCTGTGAAATGGTGGATCCGTCGACGTCTACCGCGAAGACTTATGAAGAAAGGGCGACAGCAATTGACGAAGTCCGTCTTACTCACTAGTTGTACCAGCAGGAGTTGGTGCGTCTGCGAGCTGAAACGGCCCAATCTGAATCTGATATATTGTGGCGGAAAAAATTGTCCATATGTTTTGGATAAATTTGGGTTTTTAGGCTCTAAGACCACAATACATTAAGCCTTAATGTTTAGTGGTGGTACGATTTAGGAGGGGCACATAGTGGATGTGTTCGTAGTACACATATCCAGAATAGTACATTGGATTTAACTCATATCCCAAAGATATACAAAGGGTACATCCGGACAAATATTTCCAAGAAGAGAGAGCAAACTTCAGAACTGCGTTTCCGGTACATTGCCCACCGACCTTTGGCCTTGATCACCACCCGCACCCTTCTAGGCATGTTACCCACGAGCTTAGTACAAACCTCGGCACGGAACTTCTTGCACTCTTCCTGGACCCACCATTTTGCGTAAGGGGGTGAGCACTAGGAAAATAGGGAAATTGTTGGGCGTAGGCAAGAGTATTGTGGACGATTTTGGATTGAATGGTATCTTTGAGACTAGCCATGGTAAGGTGTGGCCAAAGATCCAATTAGCCAGTTGGGCCCATCTTATCACGGATCGTCTTCGTCGTACCATTGTAGGGTAAAATCACGAATAGAGCGGCCAAATTTAGCGTAGACATTGTGAAACTGATGGTAACGCTGCACGGTTGACTGTGCACCCTTGTACCATTAAAAATACACTAGGGTCTGCGGGTCTAGTCAAGGTGCAGCAGTCGTAGAAGCCATGACTATTCTGGAAATATATTGGGGGCCGGCTGCAATTCGTGGAGTCGCATGCTGAGTGGACAATTAGTGTTCGAAAGCATGTGATCTGGTCAAATGTGACCAACATCAATTGCTTCAGCTCCAATGGTCACGCGTTTGCCTGGATTCGTGAAGGCACAACCCTGCAACACCACCAAATCAAATAGATGGTAAACCATGGGGACAAGGATCAGTGATGGTGTGGGGATGTGTGACATGCGCGGGGAGGGGGGTTCATATAGAAGATTGACGGACGCATGGAGAGGCCCCTGTATGAGGGCATTTTGTATGACTAACTCGAATTGTCCCTCCATTTCTATAGCATTTTCCCTTCTGAGGTCATCTCGATGTAGACAATGACCCAAAGAATTTGTTATGCCTGATGCAGGAATAACTTGGAAAACATGAGTATGTAGCCCTGGAGTGGCCTTCTTTCTCATCAGACCTCAACCTCTGAGCTTACCTGAAAAGGAAGCTAGCCAAGCATAAAAGGTATTTCTCTGGAATGCTGGAGCTTTAAGAGCTGGTCCAGGAAGTATGGGAGAAGATCCATGCCGAGGTTTGCTCTAGCCTCATCGACAGCTTGCCTAACATGGTGCGGGCGGTGATCAAGGCCAAAGGTCGGTGGGCTAGGAACTAGAAACACACTTTTGAAGTTTGCTCTCTCTGCTTGGAACTATTTGTCCGGATGTGCCCTTTGTATAACTTTTGGGATATGAGTTAGATCCAATGTACCACAATAGATATTTGTGCTATGAACACATCCACAATGTGCCCCTCCCAAATCGTACCACCATTAAACATTAAGGCTTCATGTAAAGTGGTCTTAAAGCCTAAAAACCCAAATTTATGCAAAACATACGGACAATTGTTTCCGCCACTAAATGTGCACTTCGGAGCTGACAGCAGTAGTCACAACACGTCACAATCGCACCAACGACAAAACAAGTACAACAGGAGCAAATAACCGAGCATCGTCATTTAATACCTGGCGACAATCAGCGACCACATGCGGCTTCGCCCGAGGGCTCGACGAACAACCCGTCATCGACTATTGGGCGAGCGGAAATTGGCGAAAGGGCGAACGTAAATCGGCCGCCTCCAATTACCTCTCTGACCAGCCTGCAAACTGCCAACATCAATATGGCGCCAGGAATTCTCAAGATGCGGAGGCCACCCATGTTTGACCCGAGCCAGCATGACAGTCCGTTAGCGAGTGGATTTTTCACCTAAACGTTTTTTTACAACTACAAGCTCGTCAGCGACGACGCACAGAATTTTCGATACGCCGTGCCACTCCTACGTGGATCGGCTGTGGATTGGTGGCTGCAGATAATTCAATCACAGGAGCCGGATACAACGCCGCGCGTAATCAGGCGTCTTCGGATGACTAATTGCTGGGCATGAAGTTATTGCGAGGTGGACAAGTACAGCACGTGGCAACCGCGGTGCGCAGGAATTCGTCGCCACTTCGAACACGTCAATGCAAGCAGCCTAGTGCACGATCGCCTTCGCACGTGGTGCCAACTCGGATCGGTCTAGGACTATACCGACGACTTCAAGAATCTATGCGACCATGTCGGCTATATTCACCCTGACGCGAAGTTTGATAAATTCATCAGAGGACTTCGACCGGATCTGCGCAGAGAAATACAAGTCCAATATATGATAGATTTGATTGAGGCCTAGAGGGTTGCAAAGCGGTTGGATTCGTTCTACAAACCAAGGATGGGTTCCTATAACAGAAATCGCACTCGGGGACCAATCGAGTGTGCCACTGTAGACGCTGTTACAACCTCGAACTTAGCAGTTACAGCCTTCAAGGGTCGCTGTTTAGGGTGTAATAGGTCGGGACACCGCAAGTCAGAATGCCCTGAGGAGCGGAAGAAGCGGAATCAGAGGCAAGGAGTTCCAGCTATCAGGGAAATGCTTAGTATCAGTAATTTACGGGCCTAGTACTGATGGAATCTGCTCGCCCGTAACCGATGACCCTCATCGAGTACTGGTACCAATCCACGCAATCGACCAGACTCGGCTGAATAAGGAGGGTGCAGCGGCAGATTACCCCATTTGTTTAGAGGGTAGGGTTCAAGGGGGAAAAAAACTTCATGGATGGGGGAGCCAGCAACTGTCTGATCAACCTCGCCACTGTAAAAAAATGAAGTTACCCTTAGATAGGTGTGTACAGGAGATTGACGCCCAACTAGTCGACGAGACCCCACTAGCAATAAAAGATAGGGTGGACTGGATAAGGGTACCCTGTGGAGCTGAGTTCAAATTTTTGATGGGGATGCTGGCAACTACATTCGGCGCCTTCGACATGTTGCTTGGACAATATAGGCTGCAACGATTCAATCCAAAAATTGGCTGGACGATGGGCAGTTGTTTCGTCGAAATCAACGGCCGCAGTGTGATGTTACCAGAATGGACGAAGGGGGTCACAGGGGAGTTAAGCAGGTGAAGTCTGTAGTGATCAAACGAGCAATCACACGGGGAGCGAAAGTCTTCGCTATAGTCGTTCACACAGTCAACGTGGCATCGCAACCGTCCGATTTAGAGAAGCTGACAACAGCAGAGCCGACTCATTTAGCACAGCTGATTCGCACATTCCGTAGATATTTCCAGATAACCTGGCCGAGGGATTACCACCGTAACGACCTTTTGACCATCGAATAGAATTAGAACCAGGGACACAACCCACAGTGCAGCGGCAATTTCGATTAACACTGCCGGGGTTAGAGGAATTACGGAAGCAGTTACTGTAGATTACTTACTGCAAAAAAAATAATCCGCCCGAGCTCCTTGCAATTCCGCCCCCATACTATTCATCCGGAAGAAAGACGGCGGGCACCGAATGTGCACTGACTACAGAGCACTGAACAGGGTCACTATCAAGTCGCGTTACCCTATTCCGCGCGCCGATGAACTGATCGACCAACTTCGCAAAGCTCTCTTCTTCTCGAAAATAGATTTACGAGGGGGTTACCATCAAATTCGCGTAGTCGCAACTGACAGTCACAAGACTGCGTTTCGTACTAGGTACGGGAGTTTCGAGTATGTAGTTATGCCTTTCGGTCTAACGATCGCCTTGACAACTTTTCAGATGACCATGAACCAGTTCTTCAGTTCGCTCGTAGATAAGTTTGTTATAGTTTACTTAGACGATATACTGATCCACAGTGAGACCCGGGAGCAGCAATTAAAGGACCTCGAAGCAGTTTTCACACTACTGCAGGAACATCGGGTGCTCATGAAGGGGTCTAAGTGCGAGTCTTTAAAGGGCCGCTTAGAATTTATGGGACACGTTATTTCCCCCAAGGACGTTGAAGTGCACCCGCGCAAAATCGAAACAGTGCAAGCTTGGCTACCGCCAAAGAACATGCAGGAGCTGCAAAACTTTTTAGGGTTAGGAGATTTATCCCGAATATGGCGGGGGTAACTGCGCCGTTAACTGACCTGGTGCGGAAAGGGACTGAGTATAGGTGGGGGGAGAAAGAGCAAGCTGCCTTCTCTGCGCTAAATTTTTTTATGTCCTTGCCCTTGTCCTTCGCATCGCCGATCATTACTGTCCATTCGAAATAAGCACAGACCCCGACGACATAGCCATCGGAGCAATAATGTTACAGGACTTCGGCAAAGGCCTACAGCCCATCGCGTACGAGTCACGAAAGCTGCATCCCCTCGAGCAAAACTATCCGATACACGACAAGGAAATGCTAGCGATTGTGCACGCTTTCAAAGTGTGGCGATGTTACCTGACGGGTGCGGACGTGACAGTACGGACAGACCACCGAACCCTACATTACATTCGCGCACAGCCCCTACTCAACCCACGACAGATTCGGTGGTTGGATTTCATGGAGTCCAACTTTCATTACATAGTCACCTATAAGAAAAAGGCATCACATATTGCAAACCCCCTTTCTCGCCCATCCCCCCAACTCAACTCCATAACCCTCGCCCAGAATTTGCCGCTATTAACAGGCCATTTACTAACGGGTACCAGATGGACAGATTCTTTACGTCGGGTGTGTACGAACAGATCGCAACGGCTAAGGGAGTCTATAAAATAGTTACACCATACGACTGAAGGGAATAGTCACAAATACCACAGACGACACGACGCGTGGAATTGTCTCTCATGTCTTTCATTCGGCATTCTCATGGCTACAACCTTAAACTTCCAGGGTGTTCAGTGCTCGCTTATCGCATTCTCACTAGCGAAACGGCTGCCTCCCACTGTTTGGGATTGCTGCAATTACCAGACAGGTCACGGATCTGGTAGTGCTGCCGATCAGCAGACAAGGTTCTGCTGATAAGGCAACTGGCGCTGCTAGTCCTGTCAGCAGCAAGCACCACTTTCCCATATGCATGCTTGCACTCCACTCCACTACTTCCCAGCAATGCGTTGTACAGTAATCCGTTACAGTATCTAGATCTGCATCTCCTCCGGTCGCATCGCAACATGGATCGAGTAAGGCTAAGCGCGAAGCGGCTGCTCCTACTATCCGTCCTGCTCCCTGCGCTCTTCCTCTCCTACTCCGTCTTCTCGCCGTCCCCAGTCATCGAGACAAACGCAGATCCCCAGAAAGTGGTGTCCCCGGGTTCGCGGAAGCTTCACATCGCATCGGACGACGAGGATTCGTCGGAGGGTATAGCCGACATCGTGAAATCCGCAAGAAAGCAAGATTCCGCTGTTATTCTGACAGAGGTCGAGGCGAATTCGAGCGAGGATTCCGAAAAAGACGCTGGAGAGAAGGCGCCGGCGAAAGGCGAGAGCAAGGCGGAAGCTTTGGAGAAGAAAGTCGATTCCGCCGGGGAGAGCGACCAGGGCGGCTCGAAAAAGGGTCAAACGGATTCGTCTGGAGATGCGAGGAGCGAGAATTCAGCTGCAGCGAAGGCAGACGCTGGCAAGGGTGACGCGACTGCAAAGACAGTGTCTGTGCCGGAAAGCGTGTATCTCCTACGACCTAAAGTTTCAGGTAAACGACCTCATGGGTGACGCTAGCAAGTGTGACGCTAGCAAGGGTGACGCTAGCAAGGGTGACGCTGGCAAGGGTGACGCGACAGTGCCAATGACAAAGAGCGTGTTTCTTCTGCGACCTACCTACAATGACAGGTAATCGACTCACGCGACTCGGCGTTCCTGGTCGATAGGCATGACTAGCTAATGCGGCCTGAGAATTGGTCTAGAACCGTGCAAATTAGGCGCTTCTTTTAGGGAATCCAACTTGAGGGTCCACTGATGTTGTAGGGATAATGATTCCTGCTCCCATCTCGCTTTCCCTCTCTCTCTCTCCACCCCTTTCCCGACATCCGCCTCCACCCCCTCCCCCCACCTCCACCCCCTCCCCCCACCTCCCGACCTCCCCTCCTCCTCTCCCCCCCCGATTTCCCACTCCTCCCCTTCCCTCCCTCGTCTCCGCCTCCCCCCACCAGACTGGGATGCGAAGCGGGCAGCGCACATAGCGTCGAACCCGGGGTGCAACCGGACCTCGCAGGGCAAGCCGCGCGTGATGATGGTGACAGGGTCCAACAGCAAGCCGTGCGGCGAGCACGGGGAGAGCGACTTCCTTCTCCTCAAGTTCCTCAAGAACAAGCAGGACTATGCGCGAATGCACAACCTCCCCATCTTCTACGGGCTGGGCGCCATGAACCAGCACTTCCCGTCCTTCTGGGTGAAGATCCCGCTGCTTCGCATGCTCATGCTCAAGTACCCGGAGGTCGAGTGGTTCTTCTGGGTGGACTCGGACGCCATGATCACAGGTACGAGAGTCGTGTGCTGTGCTGTGCTGTGGGGTACACGTTGCGCCACGCTGAATGTCCCACTCCCGCTATCGGTTCGTTTTCAGCCTTACACGCTGTTTCGTGCTCTTCTTAGACCTCTTCGCTGACTCACACCCTGCCATGATTCCCTGGCAGACATGGCATTCGAGTACCCCATACATGAGTACTCGTCCTACACCATGGTCCTATCCGGCTTCCCAGATACGCTCTTCAAGCAGAGGGACTGGTACGTGTGACCAGGCAGCAGCTCTTCCCATCTTTCAATGTCCATTTGTTGACCACTCACTGCCTCCTTCGTTATGTATTATCCTCTCCCCACTCCCTCCTCCCCTCCCTCCCATCCCCCCTCTCCCCTCCCCCCCCCACCCACCCCCCCACCCTCTCCCCTTGCTCTGCAGCTCTGTCGGATGTCAATAGTGTGTGTCTCTGCTCTGCATGCTCCTCTCTTCCAATGCGCAGGGTGGCGATCAACACTGGCATATTCTTCATCAGAAACTGCCAGGTACTTGTTGAATGGCCAACGGCATGGCCCACAATCCCAACCTGGAAATCCTTGCAACCTCCCCTCGGTATCATCAGCATGTGCTGCTCGGGCATTCCATACACATCCCCTTGGACTCCTGGCACGATTCCTGGCACTGGTGCCATTTGATCCTGTGCTGACTTTTGAGCCGTCCCAAAAGTCAGCTCATACGCATCCCGTCAACTCCTGGCACGTGTGCCATTTGTTCTTGTGCTTCTCTCTCTCCTCTCCTCGGGCCGTTTCTCGGATGACCTGTACCTCATTTCGCATTCCCCATCATTCCCCCTATGCTGCATGCGTGGACATGGCTGCTGGCTCCTGGCACATGGCACGTGGCATATGACGCATGACATATGGTGCATGACGTATGGCGCATGGCACATGGGCATGAAATACGACACATGACCCATGGAACGTGCCACATGACATCTGACATGGAACACATGTCACATGCGCATGCCACATGGCTCATGTCACATGCGCATGCCATATGGCTCATGTCACATGGCACATGGCACATGGCACATGCCACATGCCACATGCCACATGCCACATGCCACATGCCACATGCCACATGGCTCATGTCACATGGCACATGCATCACGTTGGCAGGACGGGTTGGACTTCTTGGACGACTGGTCAACGTTCGGCAGCAGTGAGGCAGTGCGCTCGCAGTGGGGCACCGTGGCCAGCCAGACACTCAATGTGAGGGCTGGAGAATGATTGTCTTGAGACGTCTCAGGATAGGGCGATAGATACTCAACTCATCCTACCCTTCCTTAGCCGGGTCCCGTGGCTACAACACAGTATAATCCCAGACTTTCTTCCAAGTGATAATGGACAGCATTAAGTCTTCTGTTGCAACCGCTGTGTGCGCAGGGCCGCGCCGATTGGCCAGTGGATGATCAGACGGCTCTGGTACTGCTGCTGCTGGGAGAGGGGGAGACCCCTGAGAGCAAGACGAAGGGCGTGACACCTCGCAAGGACAAGTGGCTCCCGCGCATCTCGATCGACTGGCGGACAACCCTGCATGGCTACTGGGTGTCCTTCATTGACAAGTAAGGGCACTCGATGCAAGTTGCAACCCTGCATGGCTACTGGGTGTCCTTCATTGACAAGTAAGGGCACTCGATGCAAGTTGAGGTGTATTTTGAGTCGACTCAAAATACACCTAGTAAGGGCACTTGATGCAAGTTGAGGTGTATTTTGAGTCGACTCAAAATACACCTAGTAAGGGCACTGGATGCAAGTTGAGGTGTATTTTGAGTCGACTCAAAATACACCTAGTAAGGGCACTCGATGCAAGTTGAGGTGTATTTTGAGTCGACTCAAAATACACCTAGTAAGGGCACTCGATGCAAGTTGCAACCCTGCATGGCTACTGGGTTCTTCCTGTCTTCTTCTCTTGCCTGCCACCTTTATCTTCATAGTTGCGATTTCTGTTACGAAGTTACGTTGCCTTTGCTTTCTTTCCATGCCGTTTTTTCCGTGCCGTTCTTTCATGGCGTCTTCCCTGGTGTTCTTGCTGGCATGGGCAACGGCAGGTTGGAGGAGATTCAGAGCAAGCAGCACAACGGGCAGGGCAACTGGGAGTGGCCGTTCACAGTGCATTTCGTGGGCTGCAAGCTGTGCACGCGCGAGTCAGCGGATTACGACCCTACCGTGTGCAACAAGGGCATCCACCGGTATGTATACCTGGGTCGCATTGGTCACACAGGTCGCATGGGTCACATGGGTCACACGGGTCACATGGGTCACATACATGAGCCGCCGCCGCATCATGTTATTTAGAATTCTCAGAACCCATCGCATCATGCTGGCCACCCCCCCATGAGAATTCTCATACATGCTAGTCATGACTCATGTCATTCTGGCTGGCCTCATGTGGTACCGCATGTGGACTTGGTGTTTCGTTTCTTCGCATGCACCATACCATAGATCTACAGTACTTCATGCTTCTTACCCTGGATGCGTCCCTCACTCCCCCCATGCCCTCCTGTGACCCAATGCTTGCAGGGCCTTCGCGTTTGCTGAGAATCAAGTGCTCACTGAGTTTGGGTTGCACCATGCTAACTTGAGTGAGTCAGCTATCTCGCTGATTCAAGGAGAGTGACCGTTCAATTACAACACATGCTGCTCAATTGAAACACACGCCAAGGCGTTCTCGGCTTGTATCAAGTGTATCTTCATTCAAAAGTGGCTGCAAGGAAATTGATTGAAGGGGACATTGTAAGGCCCTGCCATAAGGGTTCATTTTCATGCAAAACCGTACTCAACCGTTCTAGATGCTGAACGAAACGTTCAGGAATGCTAACCACTCCCAGAGCTCTCTCACCATGCTTGTGGAAAAAGGCGTGTCAAGTCAATAGTTCAATGCAAGAATTGATAGAAATGCGTTTTGTGCGTCATTTGTCAGAGGCGCTACGACAGCCATTACGAGCTGAGACTATCCCCAAACCCAACGCCCATGCCCGCCATTCCTCGCATCCCTCCCACCTGCATTCAGTACCGGATGTCAGTCCACACGCTGAACTGCCCCTCTATCAGTCTCTACGGGCAACAAGCTACCCCTTTTCCTCATCCGCGCACCTCCATTCTCCCGCCGCATTGCCATTTCTCAAGTCCTTGGCTGGCGTTGCCCCGTGACGCCACACGGCAGGGTGGAGATCGGATCCGCATCCCCTTGGCTCTTCCCCGCATCGCCCCCTCCCCCCGCCAGCCATGGGGTCGCTCCCGACACGCGCGCTCGGCGCAGCCAGTCTCGAACCCTAAACGGTGTCCCTCCTCAGCCGCCTTAATGGAATCGTCGCTCCCAACGCGCGCGCTCAGCGGCACAGCAAGTCGTGACACCTAAACGGTGTTCCTTCGCCCTCCAACTTCTCTCCTCGGCCGCCATCATGGGATCGCTTTCGACGCGCGCGCTCGGCGCGCAGCGGCCAGGCACGAGCGCGAAGCTCGCCCTCTTCACTCCCGCCAATTACCACGTGCCACGTGACAAGCAACCGCTCGGCCATGGCGGCGGTGGCGGCGGCGGCGGCGGCTCCGCGTCCGTACTCCCCCTCCCCGCATTCCCCGCCCTCCCCGCCCTCCCCGCCCTCTTCACCCACAATCTCGTCTTCCGCGCGATCGCCGCCGTGCTTCTCGTGCTCCTCGCCGTTTCCCTCGAGCTGCTCCTGCTCTCTTCCGTCCAACCCCGTGCTGCCACGTCATCGCTCAACGCGCTGCTCCCCGCGCAGCCCGCCGCTCCCCCCTCTCCGCCAACAATCCCCGCTTCCGCCTCCGCGTCCGCCTCCCCCGCGCAGATTGCGCCGATCCTGCGCGGAACGGGCTCCGCCGCCGCGCAAACCCCTGCGCCAGCGACTACTACTCTCACATCCCTCGCATCTGCCACAACTCTCACAAACCCTATGCCATCTACTACTCTCACATCCCTCGCATCTGCCACAACTCTCACAAACCCTGTGCCATCTACTACTCTCACATCCCACACATCTCTTTCATCCCCCACTCCCACATCCCTCACATTTAGACGCCGCGTGATTCCGCTAGTGGCGCCGACCTTCGATCCGCCGCCCATGCACGTTATATGGGTGGAGTCCAAGTGCAGCGACGAGTGCCACAAACGGGGCAGCTGTAACGAGGAAATCGGGGTGTGCCGGTGTGTGGCGGGGTACGGAGGGGTGAACTGCTCGCAGGTGGTCATGCCTGGGTGTACGAAGATTCCAGGAAGTGAGGGGGCAGGAGAAGGAAAACAGACAGACGGCGGGGGAAATGGTGTGGTGGTGGTTGCCACGTCACCGTGCTTCCTGCACTCGTCGTGCGAGTGCGTGCTCGACTGCGATAGACACCACCTACCACACCCTGCCACGTGTGTCGACCTCAGCAGCGCACCACTGCCACGTCAGCCCTCAGCTGACAATGCAGCTGATGGCGCTACTGGGACGAAAGCAGCAGAGGGGGGAAGAGGAGGGGTGGTAGCATGGGACTGGTACCGGGTGACCACGAATGGAGCAGGGGAGGAGAGGGGGAGGGAGAGGGTAAGTGAGGGGCAGTTGGAGGGAGGCGAGCAGCTGAGGCCGCCTGGGGAGTGCCCAGAGCGCTGCTCTGGCGTTGGCACCTGCTACAGTAGCGGCTGCAGGTACTGCCTGCTGCTCTAATAGCTGCAGGCGTATGCTTTTTAGTCGTCTCAACAGTCGTCCCAACGGCCGCCTCAACAGTCAGGTCAGGTGTACGCCACCATGCTGCTGGAATGGTTGCGTTGCGTTGCAACTGCAGTAGTAATGGTAGCAAGTGCAAGCTTGTGCATTACCGCGGTATGAGCACCTGCTCTTTCCAAAGACCCCCCAATCCATCTCCCACCCTCCTCTCGTCCTTCTCCTTCCCTTCCCTTCCTCCCCCCCCCACACCCCCCCACCCCCTCCCCCCACTCCCCTTGTCCCCTTTGCTGTCCATCCCTCCATCCCTCCAGGTGCCCGTGGTTCCGCTCGGGCCCGGCGTGCGAGCAGGTGGCGCCAGGCGTGGGGTGTGTGAACGCGTGCAGCGGGCGGGGCGAGTGCGTGGAGGGCACGTGCCGCTGCCAGCACTGGACGTTCGGGGTCGACTGCTCGCTGTTCCTCGACACCATGGGCGGACTCAGGCAGGGGGTTTCACTCCCGCTGCTGCTCCCGCCGCTTATTCTTCTGCCGCCGCTGCTGCTGCTGCTGCTGGTTGCCGGCGGCTGCTGGCTGCTGCTGCTCGCTGTGCTGCTTAACCTTCTGTCACCCATGCGTTATACCTTGTCTCTCCCCACGCCATCTGTCTCCCCCTCCTCCCCCCCCTCCCCCCCTCCCCCCTCTCCCCTCCTCCCCTCTTCCCTTGTTTCGACCCTCCGTCCTCAATTTTGCTCGCCTCTGCTGCTCTTTCTTCCCAACAACCATCTTCGTCTCTTAAACCTACACATTTCCCCCCCTATTCCCCCCCCTCCCCATCCCCCCATCCCCACCCCGCACCCCCTCCCCCCCAGGAACCTCCTCTTCCCCCCGTTCCGCTGGGCGGACCACGTGCCCCCGCCCTCGCTCTCCCTCATCGCCCCTGCGCGCCCCCTCGTCTATGTGTACGACCTGCCGGCTCACCTCAACGCGTGGCAGCTGCGCCACTCGCTGCGCATCGACCAGCCCGAGGCCGTGCTGTTCCTGGAGCGGTTGTTGAATAGCGTGCACCGCACCGCCACGCCGGATACCGCTGACTTCTTCTACGTGCCCCTCTTCCTGCGGTGAGCACCATGCCCGCCGGTCGTTGCTGCCTGCTCTTTGAAAAGTCTGTTATCGTTTTGGAGCGCCTGCTCAATAGCGTGCACCGCTTGGCTACTCCGGATACCACTGACTTTTTCTACATGCCCCTCTTCCTGCGGTGAGTGCCAGTGCCTGCCACCCCCTTCCTGCCGCTGCTGCATGCCGCGTGAAATGGCTGTGCTCTTTTTGGAGCGGCTGCTCAATAGCGTGCACCACACCGCCACGCCTGATATCACTGACCTGTTCTACGTGCCCCTCTTCCTGCAGTAAGTGCCAGTGCCACCCCCTTCCTGGCACTCTTTTTGGAGCGTCTGCTCAATAGCGTGCACCGCACCGCTACTCCGGATACCGCTGACCTGTTCTACGACCCTCTCTCACTGCGGTGCATGCCAGCCACCATGCTGCTGCTGCTGCCTGCCGCTTGAGAAACGCCTGTGCCGCCTGCATCCCTCATGCCCCACTCCTCCCCCCATTTCCCCCCCTTCTCCCCTCCCTCTCCCCCCTCTTCTCCCCCCGTTCTTCCCCTACCCTTCCCCCCCCCACTTCTTTCCCCACCCCAACAAACGCGACGCGCTCAAGCTCAACCTCCTGGCCTCAACCATTGTGTACATCCGAGCCACGTGGCCCTACTGGGACCGCACCAACGGTTCCGACCACCTCTTCCTCCTCTCCGGCCCTCATTGAATACAACCCCCCCCCCCTCCCCTCCCCCCCATTTTCCCCCATTTTCCCCCATTTTCCCCCATTTCCCCCCATTTTCCCCCATTTTCCCCCATTTTCCCCCATTTTCCCCCTTGTTCCCCCTCTTTTCTCCTGCTCCCACCCCTTCCCCCCTTTTTTCCCCCATTACCTCAGCAATCGTGATGCTCTAAAGCTCAACCTGCTCGCATCCACTATCACATACATCCGAGCCACGTGGCCCTACTGGGACCGCACCAACGGCTCCGACCACCTCTTCCTCCTCTCCGACCCCCTCGCCCGCTGCACACTCGGCACCTTCGGGCGCGGAGAGCCCCTTATCGCCCGCAGCATCGTGCTCTCTCCCTGTGGGTACACTCGTGCTCTTGTCCCCATGTCGTCCGGCAGCACTGGTGGGAAAGGCAAGCGGAAGGGGCGGCTGTCGCTGCCGTGCTTTCAGCGGGGGCAGGATATTGTGATTCCGCCGGTGCTTCGCCTGGCGGTTTACCATGCCATGCCGGTGCTAGCCCAGCTGCAAGACTCAGTCAGCAGCAGCAGCAGTGGCAGCAGCAGCAGTCCGGGCACCGCCCCCGAAACCCCTGCCCCTGCCGCTCGCCCCACGGTTCTCTTTGCCCGCTTTGCCTCATCCGACCGGCAGCAGCAGCGTGCAGGCCTGGGCATCCCTGTAAGGCAGCGGTTCCTCTCCCTCTTTGAATCCCGCGCAGGGGAACTCAACTGGCAGATTGAACTCAAGGATACAGACGAGGTGGGGGTGGCTGATATGCTCGGTGCTACCTTCTGCCTTGCTACTGCTGGTTGGGGGTGGGATGCGTCGTCTGTGGTGAGCGTGCTGGCGGGATGCATCCCTGTGGTGGTCCAGCCGCACACCATCCTCCCCCTCCAACACCCCGATGGGCTCAACTGGACCGCCTTCTCCCTCCGCGTTCCCCTCTCCAAACTTCCGGATCTTCCAGCCATTATCTCGTCCCTCTCACCACAAGCGATCGCAGGGATGCAGCAGGGGTTGCGGGATGCTTGGCCGGGGTTGGTGTGGACTAGTGCGCAGTTCAACCCGCTGCCGCCTGCTCTGGGAGCGTCCCCGGCGTTGCAGAGAGCAGGGCTCATGCTGGCGGAAGGGGACGTGTTTGGGTCGGTGATGAGGGTGCTGCGAGGTAGGATGGAAGGGAAGGGGGGAGGAGGGGAGGTGGGAGAGGAGGAGGGGGAGGAGGAGGGGGCGGGAGAGGGGGGAGAGGAAGGTGGAGAGGTGACGGAGGGGTTTGAGGAGGAAGGTGATGCTGATGCTGCTGATAGTGCTAGCGCTGTTCCTAATGCTGGTGGTGATGTTGCTGCTCCTTCAGAAGCGTCCACAGATGGCTCTGTTGACGCTCTTAAGTTCACTCCAGAAGGAGCAGTAGAGATAACCCACAACACGGAGACTGAGGAGGAGAGAAAGGCACGCACCCGAGCAGCGCAGGCCTACAACGGGCCCGGCCCCGATGTCTCCCGCCCGTCCAAATGCGCCGAGGGGTGCATTCCCCCCCACGGCACGTGCAATGAGGAGCTGGGCCGCTGCGACTGCCCCCCCGGGTTCTCCGGCCCGACCTGCCAAGACCTTGCTATGCCAGAGTGCCACCTGGGCGACAGCAACAGCACAGGGATCACATACTCCACCCCCTGCTCCGTCATAAGCACGTGTGCATGCGCTGCTGCCTGTGCGCGTTGGCGTCTCCTCGGCACCTTCGAGTGCTTCGAGGGGAACAGGCCGGATGGAACCCCGGAGACGAACCTCTCGGCGCTGTTCTCTGGGCCGAGATATGTGGTGGTGTTGGATGACAAGTTTAGGGATGCGGGGGCGGGCGGGGAGAAGGGGGGAGGGGCGCAGAGGGTGGTGTCGAACGAGGGCCCGAGCCCGTGGGCGGCCCCGGAGGAGTGCGATGACATGTGCTCGGGACGGGGGGTCTGCAGGCAGGAGTCCAAGGTGTGCGAGTGAGTGCGAGGGGTGAGTTAGTGAGTGTGGGGTAGTGGGGGGGGGAGAGAGGGATGGGATGGGAGGTGAAGAGGGGAGATGGAATGAGAGGGAGAGGGGATGACAGTGAAGAGGCCTCAACAACGTATGCCTATGCCCATACCCATACCCATGCCCATGCCCATGCCCATACTCATGCCCATGCCCATGCCCATACTCATGCCCATGCCCATGCCCATGCCCATGCCCATGCCCATGCCATGCCATGCCTGTGTGTTGTCCATGTTCATGTGCGTTTGCAAGTCTTCCTGCCTCCCTTACCAGCACGTGCTCTCTGCCCCCCCACACCCCCACCCCCGCCCTTCCCGCATCCCCCCTCCCTGCTAAAAAATCGTCTCCCCCCCACCCCCTTCCCCTTTCCGGCCCCCATGCCCTCTCCCACCTCCGCAACCCTCCTCTCCAACCCGCCCGCCCGCTTGCAGCTGCGCGTGGTACGACCATGGGCGGGCGTGTGAGATGCGGGGCGACGTCCCCTTTGAGTGCTTCAACGACTGCAGCGGACGGGGCACGTGCACCCGCGGTGTCTGTGTGTGCCAGAGAGGGTTCTTCGGCCTCGACTGCTCCATGTTCATCGACGCACAAGGGACCACCAGGTGCACAGGGGACCACCAGGTGAAGGTGGCTGTTGCGTGACATTGTAACGAGGGGGCTTTTCAGTTGAATCAACATTCACCACGTGTGCACCGGGGTTTTTTCGGCCTCGACTGCTCCATGTTCATCGACACACAGGGGGCCACCAGGCAAAGACAGATGTCTGTTGCTTCGTCGGGGCATGCCTGCATCCTTTCGTCCCCCGAACCCCGCCCTGGACGGACACCCTTTTCCCTTCCCATCCCACCGCCCCCGTCTTCCCTGCCCCCTCCCCGTCATCCCCTTCCATACGATGCTTCTCACTTGCTGGCTGTTCCTCCCACCTTTGCCTCCGCACCAACGTCCATTGCCATCTCAATTCCCCTCATCCTCCAAAACTTATACTGCACCTCACCTCAATTGGTCCTTTGGTGCTCCCTCTCCTTCTCCCCATCCTTGCCTCACCACCCACCAGGATCCTCCCCCTCCGTCCATTCCTCTGGTCAGCAGCTGGACCCCCCCCTCCTCCTCCTCCCCCCCCCTCCGCCCCCTGGTCTATGTCTACGACCTGCCCCCCTACTTCAACACGTGGCAGTTCGCCCACACTCGTTTCATCGACTGGCGAGAGCCCGTCTTCTTCCTCGAGCGCCTCCTACGCTCGCCCCACCGCACCGCCGACCCCGCCCAAGCGGATTTCTTCTACGTTCCTCTCATGCTACGAGGCCGCGGGATGAAAGGGGACACTCTAGCCTGGGCTATCTCGTACATTCGTGCCACGTGGCCGTTTTGGGACCGGAAAAACGGGTCTGACCACGTCTTTCTGACCAATGACGACTGGGGGAACTGTGAGATCTCGATCCATGGGGAGTTAGAGCCTTTGCTAGCGAACAGTGTTACAGTTACCCTCTGGGGGCTCACTCAGAATATGCATCTGGAGGATAAGCCGAACGGGTGCTTTAGACCGGGGCAAGATGTGGTTATTCCGCCCATGATGGCCCCCGACGTGTACCAGTATGTGGTTGGGGTGAAAGAGATGGTGAGGAGGGAGATTCAGAGGAGGAGGAGGGAGAAGAGGAGGAAGGGAGGAGAGAAGGATGCAGGGGTGGAGGAGGATGCGACCAAAAGCCACGGATCAAGCCAGCTGGGAGACAAGCAAGCAGAAAAAGACGAAGATAAAGCAGAAGAGAAGGACGGCCTAGAAGCCATTCTATCCGGCGTCAACCGCACCACTCTCCTCTACTTCAAAGGCTGGCCGGCAGACCGAGCAGCGCCGCACGGTGCCTACTTCTGGAGCTTTGGGGTGCGGCAAGAGGCGTTCAAGCTGTACAGGGGGCGGTTCAACGAGACGGGGGTGAAGATGGAGAGCACGGAGGGCGTGCCGGAGGGTTATCTGGTGGAGATGGGGCGAGCTGCGTTCTGCCTCGCGCCGTCCGGGTGGGGGTGGGCCATGCGGACTACTCAGGCGCTCATGCTGGGGTGCATCCCGGTCATCATCCAGGTGGGATCTGTTGGCCGGGCAGGTAGATATCTCTTGACATGCACTGCTCATTTGTGCCTCACTTGCCAGGCTGCCCAATCGTACCTCTCCTTTATTTCTCCCCAGTGTAAGAACCCCCCTCCTACCTACCTTCCCTCTGCCCCCGCTTGTCCTCCTTTCACCTTTCCTCCCTCTTCCTTACATTCGCGTCATGTGGCTGCTTGCACCATGCCACGGCCCTCTTCCTGCTTCGTCCGTCACCTCGTCTCACTTCCTGTCACCGCCTCCACTCAAGCACCACTCACTTGCTTCACTTCCTCTCCAATCTCTCCCGCTCTGCTTCCATTCTCTTCTCACCCCGCTCCCCCCCTCAATCGTCCCCCCCCCATCGTCTCCCCCCCCATCGTCTCCCCCCCATCCCCCTTCTTCCTCCTCCCCCCCCGCCTTCCTCCCCAGCCCCATGTGGTGCAGCCCTTCGAGGGCGATGGCACCGACTGGACCCGCCTTGCCATCATCCTCTCCAAGGCCGACATCCCCAACCTGCCCCGCATCCTGCGCGCCATCCCTGAGTCCGAGCGCCGCGCCAAGTGCCTTGCCATGCGGGAAGAGTGGCTGACATTCGTGTGGGCGAGCACCCAGCTGAACCCCCCCTCTTCCCCCCCTCCCCACCTCCCCCCCCAGCCCCATGTAGTGCAGCCCTTCGAGGGCGATGGCACCGACTGGACTCGCCTCGCCGTGATCCTCTCCAAGGCCGACATCCCCAACCTGCCCCGCATCCTGCGCGCCATCCCTGAGTCCGAGCGCCGCGCCAAGTGCCTTGCCATGCGGGAAGAGTGGCTGACATTCGTGTGGGCGAGCACCCAGCTGAACCCCCCCTCTTCCCCCCCCTCCCCACCTCCCCCCCCAGCCCCATGTAGTGCAGCCCTTCGAGGGCGATGGCACCGACTGGACTCGCCTCGCCGTGATCCTCTCCAAGGCCGACATCCCCAACCTGCCCCGCATCCTGCGCGCCATCCCTGAGTCCGAACGCCGCAAAAAGCGCCTCGCCATGCGGGAAGAGTGGCTGAAATTCGTGTGGGCGAGCACCCAGCTGAACCCCTTTGGGTTCCTGCCGAGGCCACTGCAGGACGAGATGGCTGTGAGGCTTGAGAAGGGGGATGTGTTTGCTACTGTAATGGGTGCACTGAGGAGGAGGCTGGAGGGGAAGGGAGGGGGGCGGGGAGGGGGAGAAGGTGGGGGGAAAGATTGGGCGTCTGCTTCTGATGCCGGCGCTGGGGTGAAGGCAACGCGAGGGATAGAGCAAGCAGGGCTAGGAATGGGCACAAATGATGTTCGTACTGGTGCTGCTGCTGGGGGGGGTGATGGGGGAGGAGAGGGGGTGTTGGGGGGAGGGGCTATGGGATCCACAGCAGCTACAGAAGCAGCAGCAGCAGCAGGAGCGTTAGAGGAGCAGCAGCAGCGGTCGATGTCGTCAGCAGCAGTGAGTGTATCGATTGGTGCTTGTAATGAGTCATGCTACACGCACGGCACGTGCAACGAGGAGCTCAAGCGCTGCGACTGCCCGCCCGGGTTCACCGGGGAAGACTGCTCCGATCTCGCCACGCCCTCCTGCCACGTGGCGCCTGGCTATTTGACGCCGTGCGGGCTCCCTTCGTCCTGTGCATGTGCTCTGGAGTGTGAGAGGGCTGGGCTTCCCTCCTCTCCTGTGTGCCTGGATGACAGTGAGGGGGGTGCAGAAGGAGGTGGAGGGGAAGGAGCAGGAAGCGGAGCAAGTCCAGAGGCAAAGGGTCAAGGCGAGGCGGAAGAAGCAGACGACCCTGCTTTGAGCCTGCCGGCGTGGCAGCGGGATGGATGGCAGGGCTTGTCTTCTCTGCTGGAGAAGCCTCTGGTGCGCATGGCAACGGACGGCATGGGGGGGGAGACAGGGGCGCGTGTGAGAGTGACACTTTATCAGCAGCAGCAGCAGAGCAGCATATCTTCTGGAGGGCCACCTCTTGGCCGTCGCTCGCACTCATTCCTGCATCCCTCCCAGTGCCCCAGCAACTGCTCTGGGCTAGGCGTGTGCCTCAACAGCAAGCAGTGCATGTGAGTGTGTCGGGTTGTGTGTCAATGTAACGAGGTGTCTGTGAATGTATGTGACTGTATGCTGTGTGTGAGGCTAACCAGTGCGCGTAACAACTACTCTGCTGCTGCCTTCCCAGTGCCCCAGCAACTGCTCTGGTCTGGGCGTCTGCCTCAACAGCAAGCAGTGCATGTGAGTTTAAACGAATTGTGTGCCGAGTGTAATGAGGTGTATGTGGCCGTATGCTGCTGTGTGAGTGTAACGAGGTGTCAGTGACTGTACGCTGTGTACGAGGGTAACTGGTGCATGCGAGAGTGCTTTCCTGCATCCCTCCCTCTGCCCAGCAACTGCTCTGGTCTGGGCATGTGCTTCGAGAGCAAGCGGTACGGTGTGGTGCATATGAGTGCACCTCAGAGTCAATTAACCTCCCACTGGACATCATGCGCGGCGCGTTCCTTCTCCTCACACTGCAGCCTGCCTTCCCTTACCCATCCCGGCCTCTCCTACCTACTTTCCATCCTTTTCCACTCTCACACCCCTCAACCCTCTCTAAACCCTTCCCCCCGACACTCCCTCCCCACCTCCTCCAGGTGCCCGCCCATGCTATCCCCCCCCTCCTGGCCCCCGCCTGCCCCCTCTGCTGCCGGCCTCAACGGGTGCCATGCGCGGGGGATGTGTGCGCACGGCTTCTGCATCTTACAAGTGAAGCAGGAGCAAGAGAAGCACACGACGTGTGCCGCTTTAACCCACCCATTCCTCCCAACCCATCCCTCCCCCACCCCAGGTGCCCGCCCATGCTCTTGCCCCCCTCCTGTTCCCGCCTGCCCCCTCTGCTGCCGTTCATGTGCCTCAACTGGTGCCATGCGCAGGGGATGTGTGCGCACGGCTTCTGCATCTTGCCGGAGAATCAGGAGCAAGAGAAGCATGCAGTGTCTGCTTCTCCAACCCACCCATTCCTCCCAACCCAACTCTCCCCCACCCCAGGTGCCCGCCCATGCTCTTGCCCCCCTCCTGTTCCCGCCTGCCCGCTCTGCTGCCGTTTACCTGCATGAGCAGGTGCCATGCGCGGGGGATGTGTGCGCACGGCTTCTGCACCTTGCTGGGAAAGCAGGAGCAAGTGATGCACGTGCTGTTTGCCTCTTCGACCTCCCACCCCTCCCAACCCAACCCATCCCTCCCCACCCCAGGTGCCCGCCCATGCTCTCGCCCCCCTCCTGCGCCCGCCTGCCCGCTCTGCTGCCGTTCACTTGTCTCAACGGGTGCCATGCGAGGGGGATGTGTGTGCACGGCTTCTGCATCTGCAACCCGGGGCACTTTGGCATCGACTGCTCGCTCTCCAAGGCCGGATCAAGGGACCGCACCCGGTGAGTGGGTGGGAAGTGAAGGGGTGCGTGTGTGGTTGTGTGGGTGTGGGTGTGGGTGTGTGGGTTTTGGGCTGCGCTGCATCTGCAACTCGGGGCACTTTGGCATCACCTGCTCGCTCTCCAAGGCAGGCCCAAGGGAGCGCACTCGGTGAGTGGGGGGGGGGGTGTTGCTATGCATGTTGTTGCTTGCTGGGTGTGCAAGTTTGAGGCATCCCAAAGTGCAAGTGGACGTCGAGTGGGACGTGCGTGCATGGGTTCTGTGCGGTTCTGTGCGGTTCTGTACGGGTCTGCAAGTTTCTGCATCTGCAACCCGGGCCACTTTAACATCAGCTGTGCGCTCTCCAAAGTTGGACCCAGGCCCAGGGACCGCACCTGGTGAATGGGTGGGGATGCTGCTATGCTATGCATGTTGCTGCGGGATCCGCGTGTACCCGGGCGCCTCACAATGCATGTGGTCGTGAGATGGGGTATGTGTTGCATGGGTCTTGTCTGCTTCTGTGTGTGTGCGACCAGGGGCACTATGTGTGCATCGTGGGATGGGATGGATTGACTTTTGAGTCGACTCAAAAGTCACCTCGACTCAAAAGTCACCTTGTGTGCGACCAGGGGCACTATGTGTGCGTCGTGGGATTGCTTATGGCTTCCCTAAGCGGAAGCCAGGGACTGCACGCGGTGGTGAGAGCCTGGCTGGAGCCAAATGGTGAGGCATGGGTGTGGTGTGGTTGATGCTGTCATCGCTGCACTGCTCGTTGCCTATGGTTCCCTCCCTCCCTCTCACTCCCTCCCTCTGACTCGCTCCCTCTGACTCGCTCCCTCTGACTCGCTCCCCGTCACTTCCACACCCATGCACCCTTTCTCTCTCCCCTTTCTCCAACAGAGTTCCTCTCCCTCCCTTCAATACACCTTCTCAGTCCCCTCTCTCTCCCTCCCTCCCATCTCCTCCCCCTCTCCCCCCCCTCCCCCACCATTTACCCCTCCCCCGCCCCCAGCATCATGTCTGCCCCCCCATTCTCCTGGCCCCAAGGCCTCTCCCTGCCCATCCCAGCCCCAGTGCGCTCGCCCCTCTTCTTCGTCTACGACCTGCCCCCCCAAGCCACCTCCTGGTCACTGCTGCTCGGCACACTCCCATCCTCTCCCTCTCCCTCTTCTCGGCCCAACGGGGTTGGTGGGGGAGGGGTAGGCGGAGGGGAGTGGGAAGGGGGGCCGGAGGGGGTGGAGGCAGTGCTGTTTCTAGAGCGGCTGCTGAGGAGCCCTTACCGCACTGCCGACCCCTACGCTGCGCAGCTCTACCTGATCCCCGTGCTGCCATGGTATGTCATGAGGTGACTTTTGAGTCGACTCAAAAGGTGACTTTTGACTTTTGAGTCGACTCAAAAGTCCAGCTCTACCTGATCCCCGTGCTGCCATGGTATGTCATGTGTATCATGTGAGAGAGGGGAGTGGGATGGGGGCCAAAGGGGGTGGGTTGGAGCCAGTGTTGTTTCTGGAGCGGCTGCTGAGGAGCCCTTGCCACACTGCCGATCCCTATGCAACCCAGCTTTACCTTATCCCCATGTTGACATGGTGCACTGTTATGCCCCTCACACAGACGTGAACGAACACCTGCCTTCGTCCTTTCCTGTTACTGCTTCTCCGTACGGCTCATCTCGTCCTACCGCACTGCCGACCCATATGCAGCCCAGTTGTTCCTTATCCCCGTGCTGCCATGGTGTGTCACATGTGTGTCATCATGTCTCTCACTCCTGTCATAGTCCCTTCCTCCTGATGCTCATCCTTACTGCTCGACTTGCCAGCATCTTCCGACCCTCGCTCCTTATTTTCCTCGAATCTCACTTTCCACCTCCACACATTTATACCACTCTCCTGTTCTCCCCGTCCAATACTCTCTCCCACTCTCCCCCCAACACACCCCCCACTGCTCCCCACCATCAGGGCGGGGCCAGCCACCATCCTACGTGCCGTGCACTACGTGAGCCACCACTGGCCCTTCTGGTTCCAGTCCGACGGCTCCAACCACCTGCTGCTCACCACCATCACCCCTACCGCCCCGGCTCACAGCCCCGTCTGCTCCCTCACTCCGGACAAATCCCGCCACCCGCTCCTCGCACGCTGCTCCTTCCTGGCTATCCCAGTGGCAGATACAACTTTTCGTGGATCTCCCCTACTTCAAGGCTCACCTGAGCCTACCACCACCACTGCCGCCGCTGCCACCACTGCTGCCACCGCCACTACCGGCACCTCCATGAGCAGCAGCAGCAGCAGCAGTAGCACCAGCGGCAACCAGTCATCCCTGCCCTGCTTCCTGCCCGGCCAAGACCTCCTCCTGCCGCCCGCTCTCCCTCCCATCGCCCTCTCTCGCTCCCCTTTTGTTGCCCCTCCCACAGCCCAGCACCCCCCTCGCGGCCACCTGCTCCTGTTCAGCGACTGGGGTGTGGGGGGAGGGAGGGGTGCGAGTGGGGGGATGGGTGGGAGTGGGGGGAGTGATGGTGGGGGAGAAGGGAGCAGTGGGGGAAGGAGTGGTGGAGTGCAGGAGGTGAGGGATAGAGTGATGGCAGGGTTGAGGGAAGAAGGCAATGCAGAGAGGGTGGTTGTGCTGTCACAAGACCGCAGCAACAGCAGCAGTAGCGGTAGCAGTAGCGGTAGCAGTGGCAGTGACAGTGGCAGCGGTAGTGGCAGCGGCAGTGGCAGCAGGTTTGATTTAGAAGCGGTAGTGGGCGCAGCACTGGAGAGTGTCTTCTGCCTGGTGCTGCCTGGATGGACTCACAAGATGGAGCCCTCGCTTTTCGTCCTTCACGGCTGCATTCCCGTCGTTTTGGAGCAAGACGGCGAGGAGGGCACATCACTGCGAAGTAGCTCCCTTGTGGAGTGGTCGGAGGTCTCTGTGACGCTCCCCGCTTCTCAAGCACACATCCTCGTTAAAAGCCTCCTCGCAATACCGCAAGGGGACATTGTTCGACGGCGCAGTGACATGGGGAAAATGTGGAGCAAGCTTGTCTGGGCGAGCCCTTCTTTCAACCCGCTTGCTCAGGTGCATGTTGACGAGCAGCGGCGCTTTGCACCATGGCTCGCAGCTGGTGATACATTTCAAGCTATTGTTGCAAAGTTGCAGAAAAGGCTGGAGCAATAAGGTGGGGGATGTAATGTAACACGTATGATTTGAAGTGAAGCTTATCGGTGATGTTGCGCGATGTACAGTGCAAGTGCTCCTAGTGCAATTGGTTGTGCCTGATTAGAATGAGACAAAGCGAGGTTATCGGGCATTTCACGTGTCCCTTATCGGATTTGCTGAAGACGAAGCGAGAGTGATGTCCCCCTTATTAGCATATCGATTTCTCCAGCTGAGCCTCCCCCCAGAACCCCCTGATCCCTCCCAGCCCCAGCCAACCGTTTCCACATTCGACATATCCGGCCCATATCACACTGGCTTCTCACTCCCATGATCCCATCCATCCCATATTCCGCAGACGAGCTACCTAGCTACCTATGAATAGCACATCGCACCCGCATCGCACCCGCATCGCACGCGCTTATAGCTAGCTCTCCCCCCGCGTGAGTATCCATCCATCCGCCCTAGCAAGACGCACGGCACACGACGACACGACACCCTATCCGTCCCACCATCACGCATCACTCACCCGTTCCGCTCCGCTCCGCTCCGCTCCGTTCCGCTCCGCTCCGCTTCTAGCCTGGTAGTACCCGCCCCACCGTACTCACTCACGCCCACACACACGCCTCCGCGTGTCAAGCACGCGGCACTGCGACGCCTTGCCGGAGCAGAGCACATCGGAGAAGCCTGGGCATCTCTCGACCACAGAGATTCTCTTGACCACACCCCGCGATTTCCCGACCATCTAGACGATATAGATCATCGTCACGTAGAAGCCTTGCCTTGACGATGACGATGGCACTGCTGCCTTGCCTTGAGCGGTAACGTTTGATAGAGTCATGATACCGGCCGGCAATGCAGCTTCGCGGTAGTAGAGTTATGGCGGGACGACTTAGTATCACAATACTGCGTAGACCGTGCCTGTCGTCCCCGCGCCTACCGCCGCGTCCCGCGCACCTTTCCGCCCGCTGCCTTTCCGCCTGATGGCCTAGTCGCGCGCCAGCCTCCACAGCAGCAGCGGTAGTATTCCTCCGCCGCATCTGCAGCAAGCGAGCGCCTGCCACGCGGCCAGCGGCGGACTCCGCTCCCCTTACCCTCTGCTCCCCCTGTTTCCCCCGCTCCCCGGGCGCTCCCCCGGCGCTCCCCCGGTTCTCCCCGGATCCTCTCCCCCTTCCTCCCTCTCCGCGCATCTTCCCCCCATGGCGTACACGCGGTGCCTGTCGCTGCCCGTTATAGCGGGCTTTGCTTTAATCGCGTTCGTCGCGTACACGATCATCTTCCTCGTTATCCAGCCATGGCTCGGCCTGATCACCGCCGCCGGCGTCCTCAACGTCGGCGCGTTTTGCGCGTGGACCGCCATGATCTTATTCTCCTACATGCTCTCTATTTTCCGCGACCCGGGGTCCGTGCCCGCGCACTACGTCCCCGACGCGGAGGGCGACGCGGAGAGTAACGCGGAGGCGGGGAGATTAACTCCGGTGCTGGTGGAGGTGAAGAGGAAGGGCGGCGAGGCGCGGTATTGTCAGAAGTGCGGCGCGTTCAAGCCGGCGCGGTGCCACCATTGCCGCATATGCAAGCGATGCGTGCTCCGAATGGTGCGCGGGGAAGAGGAGGGGAAGGGGGAAAGAGAGAAGGGGGCGACGAGGGGGGATGGGGAGAGAGAAAAAGCGGGGGGAGGGGGGGGGGGGGGCGGGGGGGGTGAAGTGTAGGCGGGGGGGAGAGAGGGGAAGAGGGGGATGAGAATGGGGGAGGTGGGAGGGGGAATGGGGAATGCGGAGAGAGGGGGGGTGAGGCAAGGGGTGGTGGTGGCGGGGTGAATGGATGCGAGGCGATGCGAGGCCATGCTAAGCCGTGCCCATGGCCGTGTCAGTGGCCGTGTCAGTGGCCCTTTGTTTGCTCCCATTGGGCCCATTGCACTCTCCTCTCTCTTCCCTGGTGTTCCCTGTCCCCGTGCACATCCCCCCCCACACCTCTCCCCCTTTTCCCCCTTCCCCTTGCTCTTCCCGCTCATCCCCCGCTCGTCCCCCTCTCGACTCCCCGCCCTATCGCCCGGCCCCCCACAAGGCTTTCTTCCTCTTCCCTTGCTCTCTCCGTTAACACCCCCTCCCTCCCCACCCCCTCTCTCCCCGTCACAACCCCCTCTCTCCCGTCCTCCCTCTCTCCCGTGCTCCCTCTCCCCCTACCCCCGCCATCAGGACCACCACTGCGTGTGGATCAACAACTGCGTGGGGCACACCAACTACAAGGCCTTCTTCCTCTTCGTGCTCTACGACGTGCTCGCACTCACACACACCGTGGTAACCATGCTCGCTCACACACACCGTGGTAACCACCCTCGCTCACACACACCGTGGTAACCACCCTCGCTCACTCGTCCAAACGCCACTTACTCATCCATCGTCACTCTCCTCCCTCTCTCTTTACCTCTGGCGGTCCGCTCTCTAGCCTGTCCCCTCCTCGCAACTCCCCTGCGCCCTTGTCCTGCCACTCACTCACCACCCCGTACCCCGAGATGACTTTTGAGTCGACTCAAAAGTCATCTCACCACCCCGTACGTACCCCATCCATTCTCCTGCTGCTGCCATCCTTGTATGCTGTATCGCATCAGTTTGTCCTCCTGGCCCACACCCCTGACCCACACCCCTGGCCCACACCCCTGGCCCACACCCCTGGCCCACGTGAGTGTATGTGCAGCTCTCACATCCCTCCCCCCTTGCTTCAACCAGGACCCCGCTCAAGCCCCAAGCCCCCTTCCCTCCACTCGCCTTAACCCCACTTCTGCCCTCCCAGGCTCTCCTTATTGCCCCTGTCATCGCTTCCCCTGGTTGTGTTTTGAAATTTGAGCCACCTAAAAAAACCCCCATTTGCTTCCCTCCCCTTCTCTCTCCCCTCCCCCCAATCCAACCGCACCCCCCAGGCTCTGCTCATCGCCTTCTTCGTCTCCTCCTCTGCCCTGAGAACAACCTCCTTTGTACCCACTCATTCACATCTGCCCCCCCTCCCCCCCCCCCCCTTCCCCCCTCTCCCCCTTCCCCCTCTCCCCCTTCCCCCTCTCCCCCAACCGTTCCCCCCAGGCTCTGCTAATCGCCTTCTTTATCTCCTCCTGGTCCGCTGACCCCCTCCCGCATTCCTCCTCCTCCCTGTCCTCCACATCTCATCTAGCCACCTCGTCAGTATCGGCGTCATCAACAGCAGCAGCAGTAGCAGCAGCGGCAGCAGCCGTGGGGGGAGAGGCGTACTCGCAGCCTGCACTGCTGCTCGTGCCCTCCCCTATGACGTGCTCTGTGTTGCGGGTTAGTCGCTTCCCTCACAACCCCTCTCAACCCCTCACCCTTACACCATCACCGCACTCTCCTACTTCACAGCCCCAGCATTGCATTTGCAGGTAGCCCATCCAGCGTTCCGAACCAGCATCTCCCCTCTGACGTCAACCCCCCTTCACTCCAACCTCCCTTCCATCCTCGCTCCCCCACTCAACCCCATCCCACCTCCACCCCCCCTCTTGCCTACCTCTCTCTTCCCCCCCCTCCCGCCCCCCCCTCCTCTATGATACCAGGCGCTGTGTCTGCTAGTGAGCCTGCCGCTGCTGATCGCGCTGCTGGTGCTGCTGGTGTGGCACTGCTACCTCATCGCCATCAACAAAACCACCATCGAGGTACCGCCCTCACCCCCCCTACCCTTCTTGCTTCACATACCCCTCGCACCCACCGCGCTTCACACACACCTCGTGCCCACCGCGCTTCACATACCCCCTGTACCCACCGTGCTTCACATACCCCCTGTACCCACCGTGCTTCACATACCCCTCGCACCCACCGTGCTTCACACACCCCTCGCGCCCGCTCTGCTTCACCCACTCAAAATACGCCTGCCACTGCCGGTGGCGCTGCTGGTGCTGCTGGTGTGGCACTGCTACCTCATTGCCATAAAAAAAACCACCATCGAGGTACGGCCCTCGCACCCACCCACCCTGCTTCACACGCCCCTTGCACCCGCCTTGCTTCACTCACCCCTCGCACGCCTCACTGCACACGCTTCTCACACCCACCTCTCAGCACGCCTCTTTGATCCAACCACTGAGTATTGCCTCCCACCGCTCTAAAGCATGGCTTGAGCACACGAAATGAGCACACGAACCCATACGTGCTGCCATACAGAATGTGTGTGTGCTCTCTTGCTCACACATACACACGAACACATGGCAGCATGCTCTTGCTCGCTCCTGCTTACCTCTTCTCCGCAGCTATCCATGCGCCTTTCTTGTTTCTATGCACCTCTACTGCTGGTCTCTGCACATCTCTGCTGCTGACCTCCGCTCCTCGACATATGTCTCTACTTCTCTCTACCATTCCTGCTCAACCCACATGTAGCACTACGAGGGGGTGAGGGCGCGGCTATTGAGTCCAAGGCCAGTGGCCACAGGCCAAGCGCCTCCCAGCCACCCATACGATCTGGGGATCATCGCCAACCTCACTGCTGTATGCACTCCCTTACCCCCTCCACCTCTTTCCTCTGCTCCTCGCATTCTCTCTTTCCTCTCATTCCCCATCCACCCCTCCCTTTCCTCGCTCGTTTTCTCTCACCCCATCCTTGATCCCCTTCTCTCTCCCTGCAGCTCGTTATGCCAGCCATGCCAATGCCCTGACCTTGACCTTTTCCACACCCCATGCAGTCGTTGTTAACCTTCAATCTACTAGTTTGTCTTTCCATGGGTATGTCGCTTCTGCAACCCATCCACCCTCTCCGACGCATCCTTTCAAGTATCACCTGTGCTTGGCCCATTCTCCCCCTTCCCCCCGCACTCTAGATCCTGGGCCCAGTAGCCATACGCGCCAGACATTCTGAGATACCCTTCCACGTGCACCACACGCTTTGTATTCCAACGCCCCTCTTTTCTCCCCCACTCCATCCCCCCCACCCACCAGATCCTGGGCCCAGTGGCCTTGTGCTGGCTGTGTCCCAACGACACGCGGCACATCTCGGACGGGATGCACTTCGACACTGCATACTCCCTGCACTCCAAGCATGCACACAACCACACCGCCCACCGCCATACCCATGTCGACCCCATCCTCTGATGAGTGCCATGGTGCACATTCGCACTCCTTGTGGCTCGGAGTCTTTGTGTCGACTTAAAAGCCAGCTCGCTCCAAGCACGTGCACACCCGCACTGCCCACCATCACACCCACGTCGACCCCATTCTCTTGTGCGGATTCGCACTTGTGGCTCGACTCAAAAGTCAGCTGGCTCCAAGCACGCGCACACCCATCACCCACCATCACAACCACGCCGACCACATTCTTTGAGCGTCAGGCAGAGTGCCGTGCCATGGCACAGACTGGTGTGGCTGCGCCAGGCAGAGTGCATCTTCGCTCTCCCTGTGGCTCATTGTGGCTCCTCTCCTTGCTCTCTTACTGAGCCTGATGTGCCATGGTCATGGCATGGCACTGACTGACCGACCCCATCTTTGTTGCTGCAATGAATGGAGATTGTGGTTGGGGCTACATGCTTGCAGGGGTGCATTGCTCATTCTTATGCTTGCCCGATTCCGCAAGCTCTTTATTTTTATTTAAACGCCTAGCACCGAATTACCAGCAGGGGGTTTCATTACCTATGTACTGGAATACAGGCCTTTGCCTAGCTCGTGGCACAGCCAGTCACACCACATACAAAACACTACAAATAGGGCTCTTGACAGGCACTAGCAGTTCTGTAAGAACAGGGAAGAAGACACCAGGTCTATCTATCCATCCCTTCCTCAACAAGCAGCTCAAAGATTCATTTTCTGCACGAGCCAGGGGCACAAGGCAGTGTGTTATGTTATCTATCAATATCATTACCGGTACTAGTAGCATCAGTAGTAGAAGTAGTAGCACTTGCCATGCACCAGTCAGGCAGCCCGGCTTCCTTCCTCCACAGGTCGTTGCACCTCTTGTACAGAAGCACCTGCCAGAAAAACACAGAAAGTTATGTTCAAGCGCTATATCAACGACATGCATGCCTACTCTTGCATGATTGCACGGAGATATCTCGGTTTGTGTGTACTGATTCTGCGCACTGAGAGAGAGAAACATAGCACCAGGGCCTCAGATTGGTTTTAAGGTACCCTGATTGCTCAGGGTCCCCCCCCCCATGTTTACCCTGATCTTTCAGGCCTCCCAAAAACAAATCCGCTGAGTAATCAGGGTTACTTCAGAATTTCACGCTGATTTGGCGAAAATTGGGAGATGGGCAGAACGACATTCGGGGAGGGCAGGGACGGGACAAATTGGGGGGGGAATGGAGGGAGGGAGGATTCCCGCGGGAATCATGATGATGTTGAGGCCATCATTTTTTGCGGCGACACTTTCACGAAGCTGCGGCATATCAAACTTCGCCGATCGATCCAATCGCATAGCTGAGCAAGATTGCAGGGGTGGGAGGAGGAAATCTCGGCCTCACAAAGCCAGGACACACCCAATGTGTGCCTTGCGAAGGACCAATCAGTCCTCACACAAGGCGCAATACACACTAGCCCTAAATTTGGGCAAAGGGCCAAGCAATCCCCTCACAAATCCCCCAACACAAGCTAGCCCTAAATTTGGCGAAGGGCCAAAAAGTCCCCTCACGAATCCCCCAGCACACGCTGGCCCTAAATTTGGCGAAGGGCCAAGTGCCCTTACACAACCCCCCAGCACACACCGAGCAGGGGAAACATGCGGATATTATGGCAGGGCCCCGAATCACGCTGCTACAGCATTCAGGGGTAGATTCCCGTTAGGCAGAGGCTACAGGGTCTACTACAATTGCAACGCTGTACAAAAAAAGTCTACTCATAAAAAAACCCATAAATTTCAGGGTTGTCTCAAAAAAATCCTTGCGCATCAGGGTCGGTACCAAAAAAACCCTGAAAAAACCCTGAATCAGGGAAATTTGCCTGAAATCTGAGGGCCTGTATAGCACACACCTGAACTGAAGGTTACCCATCCACCCCTTACCCCCCTCTTCCCCTCCCTTCCCCCCCTCCCCCCTCATCTGCAGCATAGTATCCATGGCATTGTCCATCATAGCCGGCATCCATGTCTGCTGCCTGCCCCTATGCGCCAACCCCCCCCCCCCCCCCCCCCCAACCTTTTCCCCCACACCCCCACAGCATCCTCTCCCCCCTATCCTTTTCCTCACCCCCCCCCTCCTCATCCCCCCCCCAGCTCTCCTCCCTCACCTGTAGCAGAGTATCCATGGCATCATCCCCCCGCATCTCAACCATAACCGGCATCCACGCCTGGGGCCTGCCCCTGTCTGCACCCACCCCTCACCCCCAAACCCTTTCCCTCATCTCCCCTCCTCCCCCCCCCTCCTCCTCCCCAGCACTCACCTCCCTCACCTGCAGCAGAGTATCCATCGCGTCATCCCCCCGCATCTCCACCATAGCCGGCATCCACGCCTGCTGCCTGCCCCTGTGCGCCTGCCAGCATCCACGCCTGGGACCTGCCCCTATGCGCCCATCTCCCCCAGCCCCTTCGTCTCTCTTCATCTCAACACCTCCCTCGCATCCAACCTTGTCCTCCAACCCACCCCTTCTCTCACCTGCAGCAGAGTATCCATGGCATCGTCCCCCCGCATGTCAACCATAGCCGGCATCCACGCCTGCTGCCTGCCCCTTATCTGCCTGCCTCCTGCCTTACCAATCCCCTTCCCCCCATTTTCTCTCAAACACCCCACCTCTCCCACTTCCCCTCATCACGTCCCTCCTCCTCCCCTCTACCCCCCCCCCCCCCCCTCACCTGCAGCAGAGTATCCATGGCATCGTCCCCCCGCATCTCCACCATAGCCGGCATCCACGCCTGCTGCCTGCCCCTGTCTGCCTGCCGCCTGCCCTCCATCCGTGCCACACTCGCATACGCCCACCGCTGCCACACCGACTCCACTCCTGCTAACAACTCCTGCACTCTGTTGGGGGGGATGGCCTGGCAGAGTGGTTCGGGAAGGGGGAGACGGGGGGGGAGGGGAGGAGAAAGCGGGGAAGAGGAGATGGGCAAAAGGGGTTTGGTCCACCTTGCCTGCCTCCTGCCCTCCATCCGTGCCACGCTCGCATACGCCCACCGCTGCCACACCGATTCCACTCCTGCTAACAACTCCTGCACTCCATTAGGGGGGATAGCCTGGCAAGGTGGTTGGGGGGAGGACGGAGGGAGGGGGTGGTGGGGGGAAAGGGGAAGAGGAGAGACTGGGAAGGGGGCTTTGTCCAACATGCCTGCTGCTGCATCCACGTCTGTTGCCTGCCCTTATTTGCCTTCCACTTGCCCTCCATCCGTGCCACATTCGCATACGCCCACCGCTGCCACACTGATTCCACCCCCGCTAACAGCTCCTGCACTCGATTAGGGGGTATAGCCTGGCAGGTTAGTTCGGGTGGGGGGGGAGGGGGGGAGGGGAAGGGGGGGGAAGGGGGAAGAGGAGCGAGGGGGAAGGGGGTTTTGTCCACCATGCCTGCTGCTGCATCCACGCTTCCTGCCTGCCACCTGCCTTCCATCCGTGCCACACTCGCATATGCCCACAGCTGCCACACCGACGCCACTCCTGATAGGAGCTCCTGCACTCGATCAGGGGAGATGGCCTGGAGTGGCGATGTGGGGACGGGGAGGCAGGTCAGCTCAGACATAGGGGATTGGGCAAAAAATACTTCGCCAAAATCCGCCATTCACACAGCAATATCAGTGAGCAGCTGAGGAACAGAAATTGTCCTACATAGAGTATCCCTTTCCCCTTCCCCCCCCACCCCCCCCCACCCTTTTTTCCCCCAACCTTTTCCCCCCACCCCCCTAGCCCGCCCCTCTCACCCGGAGTATGTCAACCATGTGCGGTATCTCGTCCTCCGCCACCCTAACCGCAAACTCCGAGTAGTTCAAGTGGCGCTCAAAGGCCATCCAGATGCCGTCCTGCACGATGACTGGGATGCACCCGTGCAGCATGGCGTCCTCCATGCGCGCTGAGAAGCCGTCTCCCGGGAACACGCCACAGAAGCGAGATGAGGAGAGCTGCAGGCATATGCAAGTGTGGGGCGCCCAGAGTTTGTAATGGGTGGGGAGGAGAAAGGGGGCAGTGGTTGGGAAGGGGAGAAGGAGGGGGGACTCGGATGAGCTCGGGATGCACCCGTGCAGCATGGCGTCCTCCATGCGCGCTGAGAAGCCGTCTCCTGGGAACACACCACCGACGCGGGATAAGGAGAGCTGCGAGGGAAACACGGCCAGATTGAGTAGTGGATGGGGAGGGGAAAAGGGAGGAAAAGGAAGGAAAAGGAAGTAGTATTTGGGAGGGAGAGATGGCAGGGAACGGGGGCGGGATGGGAGGGGGATGCACCCTTGCACTAATGCCTCTAGGCAGTGGACAGAACTGTGACATTGTAAGTAAAAAAAGAGAGCATGTATTCTTTTCCCCTTCACTAATCTCCTCCACCCCCCTTTATGTGCGCCTCCCATACCACCTCCCCCGCTTCTCATTCCCACATCAATCACGTCCCCCTGTTACCATATCCTCCCCCCCCCTCTCCTCCCTCCCCCCCTCCCCCACTTCTTCCCCTCACCTGCTGACCGTACTCCCCAGTGTGTCTGTTGGTGACTATCACATCCTCCTGCCGCTGCAGCCCCAGCCGGCCCTCCTTGTTGGGCGTGGAGGCAAAGTACTGTGCCACCTTCTGCCGGATGCCCATGCTGTACCTGTGGTCGTTGGGTTGGGGGAAGAGGGGAGGAGAGATGACGCCCATGCTGTACCTGAACGTGCATGCCCCATGTGCATGTGAGAGGGAGAGGGGAGGGGAGGGGAGGGGAGGGGAGGGGGGGTGGGGGTTACGGGAGATGTGAATGAACCTAGTAGCCCGCCGTCCTTGTTGGGTGTGGACGCAAAGTACTGCGCAACCTTCTGCCGGATGCCCATACTGTACTTGTGGTCGTTGGGTTGGGGAAAGAGGGGAGGAGGAGAGATGATGCGCATGCTGTATCTGTGATGTGTGTGTGCGGGGGAATCAGGGTGTGTGGGGGGAGGGAGGAGGAGAGATGATGCACATGCTCACACTGTACCTGTGTGAGTATGTGTGTGCATATTAGCATCCAGTAAGGAGGATACGAGAAGTGGTTGGTGATGAACGCCGGAGAGCAAGAATGTGCGGAGACGAAAATAGCACACGCGAGCGAGGGGCAGAGAGAGCAGGAAGGACGTTGTTGGGCAGAAGAGCGGGGAGAAAGGGAGGAAGGGAGGAGGGGAGGAGGGGAGGAGGGGAGGAGGGTAACAGGAGGGAGGAGAAGGGCAGGGAAACAGGAGGGAGAGGGAGAGGTGAGGCGTGCAGCAGAGCTGAAGTTGGGCTTTAAATTGGCTCAAAACGGAGGAGAAGGGCAAAACGAAGGGGAAAGAGAGAGGTGCGGGTTGCAGGATAAGAGAGGAGATGGGCAGAGATGATGCAGCAGAGATGCAGAGAAGGGCTAGGGGTTGCAGCAGAGCTCAACTTGGCTTCCACCCGCCCGTGCTCGAAGGCACTGCCGAGGTTGCCATTGAAGTAGAAGAGCGTGGGGCGCGACTCCAGAGTGCTGCAGGCATGCATATGGGATGTGGGTAGTTGGTGGGATGTGATGTGACAATGGGAAGGGGAGGGGAACGGGGGAAGGGGGGGGAGGGGAACGGGGGAAGGGGGGGGGGAGGGGAACGGGGGAAGGGGGGGGGAGGGGAGAGAGTGAGGACATGGAAGGCAGGAACAGCCTTTTTTTTTTTTTACTGAAGTAGTACAGCAAGGGTTTGACTATGGTGCGGCAAGTGCTGAAACTTTGCAATGAGATGCCATGCTGCGCGCACAGCGCAATGGCATGGAATGGCATGGCATGGCATCCATACAGGCACGCAAGCAGCCGGAGCGATGGGAGAATGGGGGTGTGCGATGGGGGAGAGGGGAGAGAGGGGATGTTAGAATGGGGGAGTGAGAAGGAATGCCTTGTTAGAAGATCATTTAGTAAGAAGTAAACATGCATCATACTTCACACGTGTCATGCATCATACTACACGCGTGTCATGCATCATGCACAGCACATATCCCACCCACACCACCACCCCAAGCACGCACGAGCACATACGGCGATTTGATCTTCTGCGCGCGCGCCCACACGCCTGGCACTTTCCAAGCAGGCATGACCACATCCTTGTCAGGGTCAAAGCACGGGTGCTCTCCCCGCACCCCCCGCTCCATCGCACTCCAGTCATCGTGGTAATAAGCGCTCGTGCACCCCTTATGCCGGGTCCCCGTGTTGCCCCAGTGTGCGAGCATCATACTGCTCCAGATGGCCTCGGGCGCGTAGCACGCGCCCTCGTCCCATGCAAACATCCATATGTGGTCCTTGCCGCTGTGCCGGTCCCAGAAGGGGTGGTGCGTGCGAATGTGCGCGAGAGCACGCAGGTAGAAGTCCGCCACTAGGTTGGGACGACGGGCCTTAAATTGCCCCTGATGGAATGAGACGGGGGGGGGTGGGTATGAGAAAAGGTGGAGGGAGTGAGGAAGTGAGGGAGTGAGGGAGTGAGGGAGTGAGGGGAGAGAGGAAAGAGGGAGCGGAGGAGAGATTGTGGAAAGGGTCAAGGAATGTGAGGCTGTAGAATAGGCAGAAAAATGCATCACATATGCATAACCCCCTGCATGTCACATCATCACCACGTGTATCTGACCCCTCCGCCATCACCTTCCCCCCTCTCTCCCCCCCCTTCACCCTCCCAACCACTCTCCACCCCCCCTCCCCCTTCCTCCGCACCTTCACCCCCCTCCAACCACCTTTTTCCCTCCCCCTCCCTCCATTCCCCCGAATCACTGCTGCACCTCTCCACCCCAACCTTCCCCCCTCTCTCCTTCCCCTTCAGCTCACAACCGCTCGTCCCCCCACATTCCCCCTCTCCCTGCAGCGCACCTCCATTCGGAATCGCGGCGAGTCGTCCGCGCGGGCGATGATGCAGGCGCCCATGAGGGGCACGTAGAAAAAGTCAGCATGTAACACACTTGCGAGCCCCCATTCTCACCACCACCACCCATGCATGTCCCTGTGACCGCATCGCACCTCCCCTCCCAACCCCCACCCTCTCTCATCCCCTCTCCCCCCTCCCTCTCCCCCCCCTCTACACCTCCCACCCCTTCCCCTTCCACCGCACCTCCATTCGGAATCGCGGCGAGTCGTCCGCGCGGGCGATGATGCAGGCGCCCATGAGGGGCACGTAGAAGAAGTCAGCGCTGTCGCCGTCCAACGTGCGGTGGGGACTGCCCAGGAATCCCTCAAACACCGCTGTCTGGGGGGAAGGGGGGGAGTGGGCGGAAGGTGGACGGGAAGGGGGAAGGATGGGGGATGTGGGGTGGGGGGGGGGTGGTTGGGGGAGGCGGGGAGGGGCAGGGGGAGAAGGGAGGAAGGGGGAGAGGAGGTGGGGGAAAGGAGAGAAGAGGCACAAAGAGAGCCATGAGCAGCACGTCAAATAATTCTGCACTGTTGCTGTCTCGCTGTCCAAAACGAGGTGGCGGCTGCGCAAGAACCACTCAAACAACGCTGCATGGGATAAACGGGGGTGGAGGCGGGTGGGGGGAGGGGGCGGAGCGGAGGGAGGAGGCGCAAGGGAGGGGATACAACGAAAGACGAGGGAGACACAGAAGAAGTCTGTACTGCTGTTACCATCCAGTAGTGGGAGTAGGAGGGAGGGAGAGTGCCGAAGCAGGAGAGAGAGTGAGAGAGTGAAGCATGAAAACGAGTTTTTGCAGCAGCAGCGAGAGGGAGGGGGCAGACCTCTAGTCCGTAGAGCCATCCATCGTTGAAGACAGTGTCATTCTCAGAGTTGTATGCCCGCGGCCCACAGTAGCTCTTCCACTGCCGCGCCTGGCACATGCCATGCCAGTCAAGAAAGGCCACCCCCATGCAATGCCAATCATGCAACGCCACTCATGCCACCCATGCAATGCCACCCATGCCACTCATGCCATGCCACGCATGCCATACCACTCATGCCGCGCCATGTCACGCCAGCCAATACAATCAAGCAGGAAGGAGAGAGAGCACATGCACGGAATCCATGAGGTTAGAACCTATATTTTTTAGTCGACTCAAAAGTCAGCTCGTTATGATGTCACACGGAACTTTCGCTTCAAGAAGATCTCTTATTGCATAAAGGAGAGCACATGCACGGAATCCATGAGGTTAGAACCTAAATTGCTCCACCAATCAAGAAGGAGCACGGGTACAGTAAGGGGGGAATATGGAGGAGAAAGCAAAGGTAAACCCGGCAAGGCAGCACAACAAACCCCCCACCACGCCCCCCTCATTTCTCTCTACCCCTCCCACCCACCACGCCCTGCGCGCACCTCGAGGTTGTGGAAGGTGAATTCAGGCGGCAGGTCGTACACATAGACGAGGGGCCGGCGCCGAGCCACCATGGATCCTATCTGCGCCACACCTGCACTCTCCCCTGCTGATTCTCCTTCTGTGGGACCAGCAGCAGAAGCAGCAGGCCCCTCAGCAGCATTACTGCTGCTGCTGACATTGCTGCTGCTATTCGAGGCACCGATTGGCTCGTACACGTCAGAGGAATCAAGCGATTCTGAGGGAGAGGCGAGGTTCAATTCAGAGGAAGAGGTTGCTTGGCGTGTTGGCAGCCTGAGCCACTCGGGCGGGTAGAGTTCGGGCGGCGAGCGCACAGAGGGGATGCTGCAGTCAATGCCGTAGCGGTCGCCATGGCACTGACCATGGATGTGGGTGGGGGAAGGGGGTTGGGGGATGGTGGGGGAAGGGGGTTGGGGGATGGTGGGGGGGGGGGGGGAGGGGGGAGAGTGAGAGTAGTTAGGCGTGCGCAGTACCCCATGGCACCCATTCTCACCTGGCAGTACCCCATTCTCACCTGGCAGTACCCCATTCTCACCCAACAGTACCCCATTCTCACCTGGAAGTACCACATGCCCACCTGGCAGTACCCCATCGTGCACGTGCCGGCGCGCGAGCACTGGTTGAGGCAGAAGCTGTCAACAGGCACCTCGCACAGCCGCCCGATCTGCCCGTCGTAGTTGCAGAAGCACTCCGCTGCAGCTATCTGCGACGGGTGCGCCTCACACCATGCCACGCGTGTGTCAATGCCAGTGCTGCCGCTGCTGTCGTCACTGCCGTCACTGCTGGCGGTGGTGGTGTCGGTGGCAGCGGTTGTGGTTTGGGGCCCATAAAGCGGGGTCACGTCCGGCTTATTGTATAGAATGAGGCCTCTGGAGTGAGGGATCGGAAAAAAAGCACAGGGGAAAGAGATGCCGGAAAAGGGGGCGGTTGGGGGGGAGGGGGTGGGGGGAGGGGGCAGGGAAGGGAGGGAGAGACAGGGGAGGACTTGCAGAAAAGCACAGCATGGCACGAGATGACATGGCATGGCCTGCTCGTTCAAGCCTGGGGATGTTACGTACGGAGCCTAGCTGCTTGCAGACAAGGCTATTACAGGTTCGGTTGCACACCAGCTTTCAACACAGAGAGACGAGAACAGGGCAAAAGACCACAGCAACCGAGGAGGAGCACAGGAAGAGGGGAAGGAAAGGAAGGGGAAAAGGCGAGCACAAGAGCAACCTACTCGGGGGTTTTGGGGAAGCCACAGGGCGCGACAGCAGGGCGGTCGGGGTAGGAGGTGTTGGGCCCGCATCGGCACTGCGCCCGCCGCAAGTCGCAGTGAGCCGCACAGATGGACACTATCCAGGGGCCGTTGGGGCTCTCAGGGGTGGACGGGAGGTTGCAGGGGTAGTCCTCCTCTTGGGAGCAGTCGGGTCCTGGTAGAGGGAGTGAGGAGAATAGGCAGGGAAAGAATGGGCTGCAGTGGTGTTAGTGCTCTTCATGAGACACCTACTAAAAACTGTACCCCGTGACCTGTCTCCATGCTGATAGAAGCCCCATGCTGATAGATGCCATGCTGCCGCCAGTCACTGCACTCATAGGCTCATAGCATAGCCTGTATAGTATAATACTCCTCTTGTTCACCCAAACCCTCAACTGCGTACCCATGCTGACAGATGCCATGCTGCCACCCCCCCCCCCAACTCAATACACTCATAACGTAGCCGATACAGTCCTCCTCCTGTTTCCCCAAGCCTTAACCCAAATGTGTACCCAGGGCGGCACCTGCCATCCTCCTGTTTCCCCAAGCCCTCACCTGCGTACCCGTGGCGGCACCTGCATTCCCCCAGCTCCGCATTGCACACGCCGTTGCCGCTGCAGTCACCCGGGCACGTGCGGCCAAAGGCAGGCTGCGAAACACAGAGTACAGAGCACAAGGCACAAAGCTCAAAACAGAGAGCACGATGCGAGAAAGCGCAAGTGCGGTTGGGGCAGTTGCAAAGGGAGTGGGTGGGTGGGAGAGTGGCGATGGTGGCTCAAGTGGTGGCAGGAGAGGGGAGAGGTGTTAGTGCAAGGGAGAGTGGCGATGGCCGTTCAAACAGCAGCTTCACCCAATTCACCAAAGTGAGCACTTGAGCCACTCCGCACACCTCATGGTTACCACACGCACCTCGTGAACAGTGACAGACAGGGCACTGGGAGGCAGGCTCTTCAGCCATGATCCTACGTGGCCTCGCCAGGGCGCTCCTCTGTGCCACACAGTGCCACGTGGGCCAGCTGACGTGGCAGCAGCGCCATCAAAGGATGCAGCAACGGCTGTTGAGCCAGCCGCATCTTGACCCAATGCGACCAGTTCTCCTGTGCATGCGAAAAAGGGTAATTCACCCTCAGAAAACGATCACTGGCGGTTCTTTGAGACAGGTGTGGGTCCCCATTGGACGAGAGCGAAGAGAACCAGGAAACGATCGGAAAAACTACCCGAGAGTCCAATTATAGAATCCCTACCGGGCCGTTCGCTCGGATCATCGTTGCTGCCGGGTTGTGCCACGTCAGCATCAGGTGGCGAGAGGTAGAGCAGAATCTGCTGCGCCGTGGTGATCAGAGCGAGGAAAACGACAACCACTCCCACCACACGCGCCACGCGCTGCAATCGCGCATTGGGGCCCTCACTCGCCGCCGCGTGATAATACGCCCTTGTGCCTACAACGAAGCCTCCCGAACCGGACCGGGCCAACTGGTCGCCCGAACCGGAAGCCGAGGTTCGGCTGTGGACCGAGCGTCGAGCGGAGGACGGGACGGGGTGAGACGATGTTGCCATGATGCCGAAGCGACTCACAATACGCCCGGCATGGAGCGACGGCGGGGCCCGGAGACGCCTCACTGATAGTACGGCACGGAAATGAGGTTCAATCCACGTGGGGGGGTCATAGGGCGAGACGAGACGAGCTCTGCTAGTCTAAAAAGCAGCGAGGGAGGCGGGGATCGACCCGTGAATGGCGCTCAGCGTTGGGATTTCAGCTGGTCCAGCAGCAGACTGAGGGAGATTGTACGCTGATGTTAGCAGCAGGTATTCGGAGAGATGGCAGCACGACCAAGCGCGCCGATGGCAAGTGGACACGCATGAATCCTGCTGCTGGTTGTTAGGGGGGCAGAAAGTGTGATAAGGAGGGGAGAGGCGAGATGCAGAGCTATCAGTCAGTCATGTGTAACAGATCTGTGACTCCGTTGCTGCATGTGCATTGAAATGCCTGGCTGGAGGGAGTACCAATGCCCGCTGAATCTGCGGTATGGACTGCTTCAAGCATCCATTTCCAGATAATTGTTGCTGAACAGAACTACATGTGCGTATACAACATACTGGAAAAACAAGCATAAAAAACAAGGAAACATGGAGTAGAAACATGGAGTGGATTGCCTGGTTATGCATCTTATTCACATATTCCTGCAGTCCACAAGGAATGTTAGTTGCTTGATAAACGTGTTACCTTATTCTTGCCGTTTAGGGCGAATTCTTACAAAGTTGTGCACTACCCAATTGAATCGCACTGAAATTTGAATTCCGCGCTAGCAACTCACTGTACCGCGCGTGTTGGATCCAACTTTGCTAGATCCAACTTTGTAGGGGTCAGCCCCAGTGTTGATCTTTGGGTTTTCACTACTCTGAAAATCAGAGTGGTCTTCACAAATTTCCCTGAGGCCTCAAAATAACCCTATGTTTTGAATTTTTTTACTCAGACAAGTCAAGGTGCCTTAAAGCTGTTGACCCAAATTGCAGAATTTTCGTTTCAAGTTTATTAATCTTGAACCCCGCCGATTGGTAACCCAGTTCCCCAAAGCGAGAACAAAAACCACATTCGCGCACCAAAACGATTGGAAACAATTGCTAATTTTGTGCCACCCCCTGCCGATTCCGCCCCTGCCCCCGTCACACCATGTGTTTGAGCGGAAAGAAACTTGAAACGTCTGCAATACATTTTGGGACTTTCAAAGTGCAAACCCAGCCAAGCGCCACCCCCCCCCCCCCCTCGAAGTTTTGTTTTTACGGCGTGGTACATCTTAGATCAAGTGAGGTTTGAGGCATAAACTCGCAAAAATATCCTTATCGAGCGCACTTGAATGTTTTGAATAATAGTCAAAACGTCTACCACCCAATTAAAAGTTTGAATATCCATTTGAAAATAGCCTCGTGATCTGAAATGTTGTTAGAATACTAGAATGAATTGGAACAAGAGAGAACAAGTGAGATATAGGGTTGGGATTGTACTCTCTAAAAACACACACATATCTAGCATATAACTTCTATATGCAGGTATATGTATAAGTTGACACACCCCCAAGGCTAGATAAGGGGTAGTGCTGAACAAGAAGCACGCAGCTCAGGGCGGAACTACTAGTCCAACATATGAAACACGGGTCCGAAGACTAGTCAGCAAGGGTACAAACAAGACAAGAGTAAACCAGGGCGGCACTATTAGTCCAGCCACAGGAAGAGAAGCCACAAGGCCAGTCTGAAATGTATACATAGAGAGGAGTACACAATATAGGTCCTAGCAAGTAATTAGCTATAGGAATTAGACCAAGCTGCAAACAGTGCCGCTGATGATCTTTAGGCGGAAGCGGCTTAGTAAAGATATCAGCTGTGTTGGCACGGAATGTCAAGTGTACTACGCGGGCCTGGCGATGCTCCTGTAGCTCGCGCACGAGGAAGTACCGCAGCTGGATGTGCTTCGCTCTGCCCTCAACTCGAGGCTCTTGACACAGGAGGATCATGGCCCTGTTGTCAGCGTACAGAACCGGGGCAGAGCTAGGCCGCTCACCTAAGTCAGTGAGCAAGAAGTCAGCTAGCGGAGCTCCTCTGCCGCTATGGCACCGAAGTAGATCTCAGCCTCACAGCTAGACTGGGAAACATACGAGAAGCGAGTGGACCTCCATGAGATAGCACCCGAACTAAGGCTAAAGCAACAGCCCTGGGAGGACCTGAGGGTCTCACCGTCGTCTGCCCAAGAAGCATCTGTGCGCCCAGTAAGGACCACTGGCTTGCGTCCACCCAGCACTAACCCCGTGCCCGATGTACTTGCTAGATAACGCAAAACCCTCTTAGCGGCCGACCAGTGCTGTGGTCGGTGTCTGCCTGTGGCCACAAAGCGAGCCAGGATGGTGAGAGGGTATGCGAGATCTGATCGAGTGCAATTCATCAGGTACATGAGGCAACCCACCAGCTCTGTGTAAGGACCACTGGGCTCTACTAACTCCTCAGGAACTGGAGCATAAAGCATGTGGTCTACTGGTAGAGGTGTGGGCTGTGCGGAGGAGAACTGAAGACCGAACCTCTGAAGGACCTGGCGCACCAAGTGTGACCGTGCGAGAGTGATGGCGCGTGCTGCTCTGTCCCTGGAGATCTGCAGGCCAAGGTAGCGGCGCAGCTCTCCTAGGTCAATGCAAGTGTGTCTCCTCAGCAGCTCGGCCTTCACGGAGGCCAGTGCGTATCTGTCTGCAGTGGCAAGACTTGGTCGTCTACGTAGACAAGGATGTAGAACGGGGTCTGGCCAGCACGAACGAAGAGCAAGGGTATGTAAAGGACAGAAAGAAATGCAGGTCAGCTAGCATAGCATGCAGCGTGTCATGCCACTCATGGGGCGCCTGTCGTAGGCTGTAGACCGGGCGCCGGAGGAGCCACTCGGTCCTAGGAGGGAACTTACCGATGAAGCCTTGCGGACGGCGTAGGTAGACCTGCTCATATAGACTGCCCTGGAGAAACGCTATGGAGAAGTCGAGGGAGTGTAACTCATAGTCATGATATGCTGCTACGTGTAGCAGCGCCCGAAGAGTAGCCATCTTCGGGGTCGGGGCAAAGGTCTGATAGAAGTCCACCCCCCCACGCTGGCTGAAGCCTCTAGCTACGTAGCGCGCCTTGAACACAGGTGGCTCTCCAGGGGGGCGCTTCACCTTGAAGAGCCACCGGCCATTGATTACGTTCACCCCATGCGGGGGAACTGCGTCGACGAAGGTGCCGGTGGATCTCCAAGATGCCATCTCCTGCTCCATGGCAGCTATCCACTGAGATGACCAGGGTCCCGAGGTCGCCTCAGCGTAAGTGCGAGGGGTCGGCATGTCAACGACGTCTGGGTCACCCTCAGGGAGTAGCAGCATGGAACAGAGATGGAGAGCAGCCTCAGATAAGAAAGCAAGCTTCTACTGCCTGTCCTCTAGGACGTCACTGCCAAGGGCAGACGCACCCCCGACGGACGGAGGACAGGCAGGGTCAGAGACCAGAGCTATGGCGTAGTCAAGGCGGTGGGTAGAGGCGAAGTCAGCTACAGCAGCGATAAGAGTGTCAAGACTCAAGACACGAACAGACGGGTCTGTAGCGAGGGAGGCAAGGACCCGAGGAACAAGAGGACTGTTGTGTGATGTCATCATATGCTATCACATTCTGTCTGCCTCCCATCTCATGTTTTCAACTGGCATGTGTGTATTGAATGTGTGTAAGCATTTATGCGTGGTGTGTTCTGGATTTTGGGAATGTGTTTTGCGTTATTTTTGTTTGAGCAGGTATTTGTGATGATAGATCTTGAGAAGATCTTTTCGACGCAACAAGAATCGCTTCAATCGGAGCAAGAACGCGAAAACTATGAAGATTCAAAGTTAATGAGCTTGTGTTACAATTGCGGCGGTTACAAAGTGAAGTTGTGGGGTGACTCTATATGGAGTTGGGACCATTAGGGGTTGGGGAATTCGTCACTCTACTGTAGCAGCTGCAAAATTGGTTGGGAACCACCAAGCTAGGTTGGCAAGGGTGGCCAACTTGGTTGGATTGGTTGGGAAGGGACAAATGTCAAAGTTGGGGTTCCTATAGGGAGGGAATGTTTGTGCTTATGGGGTTTCCTTGGTTGAGGACTCTCTTGGGACCTTTCCTCTCATCCCTCTCTTCTATCCCAACCTTTCTCTTGCTCCTCTAATTCCTCGTGAGATTCTTGAACTTTGATTGAACTTTTGAGATTGAGTTAAGTTCTCCTCCTACAGCTTACCCCCCAATGCGTCGAAAGACATAGCGTCGCGAATACTCCATCAATCGATGTGATTCAAATTGATAACTGTAACTAAGATTACAAGCTACAACATATTCTATTTTCGCGACATTCCAACAGCTTGTTTTTTGTCGACGTCGTTTCTTGTGAAGACGACTTTTCTGCCCAGAATTTCGGATTTATATTTTGAGTAATTCTAGCTCCTAAGTTCACTTAGACTCCGTCCTTAATCCCAACAAGTGGTATCAGAGCTATATTGAGGATATTGAGAGGAGTCTACAGAAGTGTGAAGACCCTTCTAGACCCACCATGGCCTGTGGGTGTGCCTAAGTGGTGTTCTAAAGGTTGGATGTGTCTTCCGCTAAGGGGAAACTCTGCCGAAATTTCGTGGATGCCGACACTTGTGAAAATATCAAGAGAGCTGAGTGTGGACTGCAAATGGAAGCTGAAATTCGTCATTTCTCAAGGAGAAGATGAATGAGAGGGGAGGAGATGCTAATGGAAGAGGAGCTGTACCTGAGAAGACAAGTGAGCCGCCGCCATCAAAAGTTGAAGCTTTGGATGGCTCCAACTATGAGGAATGGAGCAAGCGGATGAGGAGTGCATTCAAACGCGGCAAGCTACTGAAGATTGCTGTTGGGGAGGAGAAGATGCCGGAAGAAGGCGAAGCACGTGAATGGTGTATTGAGAAAAGTGCGGTGCTTTTCGACCTCATCCTTCAATCGGTCAACAAGGAGATGTTCGAGCACATCAAGGATCTTGTGGAAGCGGATGATTCGGGTCCAAGGGTGTGGAAACTACTACGCGATGTGATTCAGCCCAACACTCTCCCGATGGTGATCGTGCTCAAGAAGGAACTTGCTGCCATCTCCATGCGACCAGGGGACGAAGTGAAGCCGGTCCTTGACAAGATCAAGGACACCTATGCAAGGATGGCAGCAGCGGACAGCAGTGTATCTCAGCTGCAGCAGTGCACCAAGATCATCTTGGTGTTGGACAACTCTTGGGACAACCTCATCCCCACCCTCAACTCTCAGCAAGATCAATGGACACCTGAGTGGCTAAGGCAGCAGATTCTGCAGGAGGACTTCCACAGACGCCATGTGGGAGGTGGTGCTTCCACTAAGACTGCTGAGGGGTATGGAGCTGCAGGGCACGGTAGAGGAAGAGAGGGTTGGAGAGGCTGAGGCCGTGGGAGGAGCTTTGGCAGAGGTAGAGGCCGAGGTGACTATAATGAGGGGCATGGGAGCTCTAGTGGCAGGGGGAGTACTAGAATGGAGGGCACCTCCTAGTACTGCAAGAAGGTCGGGCATCCTTGGTTCAAGTGCTTCAGCAGGCCGGAGGGATGGGCACCTCCAGGCATGAAGCCGCCAAGTGGTGAACGCGCACAAGGTGGCGCTGTGCAAGGCTCAGGTGCACAAGGTGAAGGTGTACAAGGTAATACCTATCCTGGGATGTTTCTCATGGTTGAGGATGTGCATGGGCATGAGGGTGATGTGGGATCTGTGGGAAAGGTTGTGATGCACCCTCTCACACACTGGGTGATTGATTCAGGTTGCACCAGTCACATGACCCCACGGGCAGATTTGCTTGATGAGGTAAAACCCCATAAGAAGATTAAGTATGTGGCAGCAGCGTCAAGTGCTTTGCTCCCTGTGATTGGTGTTGGAAATGCCAAGGTTAAGGGAGCTAATGGGGAGCTTGTGGGGCTTGGGAATGTTTTGCTGGTTGAAGGTTTGTCTGCTAACCTTCTCTCTGTGCGGCGACTGCAGAAGAGCAAGGCCGAAGTGACCTTTGGACCAACCAGCTGCCGTGCTAAGCTTGGGAAGAAGGTGCTGTGGAGTCTGGAAGAGGAGACCAGCTGCATCAAGGACCTGTGGCAGCTGCCCATCATCCCCTGGAATGGGAAGACTCCAACAGCAGCAATGGCAGCAGCGGCAAAGGCAACAGTAGGAGGAGATGCAACTGCATCAACTGATGGGGTCCTGGAAGCAGTCAAGAAAGTGCAGCAGCAGCAGACACATGGTGAGGTGCTTGCTGGTGTGGATGCGAGTGCGGCATGGGCTAAGGCTTCATCAAGGAGTGGTGAGGCCAATTGGGAGACATGGCATGAGAGGCTGTGTCATGTGAACTTCCCTATGCTGCAGAAGTTGGTGAAGGATGGGAGCCTGAAGGGCTTGGAGGTGAAAGGGGGAGTGAAGGAGATTGGGAGCTGCCCTACATGCTTGGAGACCAAGTTCTCCAAGTTCCCTTTCAACAGCACTACAGGACCAGCCAAGACCCCACTTGCACTTGTGCACATGGATATGGTGGGGCCCACAAGAGCCCCTTCCCTCTCAGGCAGCCGCTATTTCTTGACAATTGTGGATGACCACACTCGGGCAGTGTGGGTTTACGCTTTGAAGAGCAAAGGGGAGGTGGCAGCGGCTGTCCTTAAGGAGTGGATGCCTAGAGCTCAGAGGGAATGCGGACACAAGGTGAAGGTGATCCGCAGTGATAATGGTGGGGAGTTCATTGGAGCTGATTTTGAGGGGGAGTTGAAGAGGAAGGGGATCCAACATCAACTGACAGTGCCCTACAACTCGCAGCAGAATGGCGTGGCTGAGAGGTTGAACAGGACCCTGCAGGAGGGGGCACGCACTCTCCTTGGGCGTGCAGGGCTGCCTGGTCCGTTTTGGGTGTCTGCACTGAGGCAGGTCGCCCTTGTGAAGAACAAGGTGCTGGCTACAGTTGGGGATAAGGAGTGGATCCTGTATACTAAGTGGTATTGGAGTGCTCCAGCTGTGAACATGCTGAGGGCATTTGGGTGCATGGTGGTGTTTCATCTGCCCAAGGAGAAAAGAGGGAAGTTGGAGGCTTCTGGAAGATGGGGTGTGCACTTGGGGATTGCAAAGGATCACAAGGGGTGGCTGCTGTGGGACTTGACCACCCAGAAGTTGACTGTGTCAAGGGATGTGAAGTTTCTTGAGTCCCTGTACAACAAGGAATGGAAGCAGCAGCAACAAAAGCTTCCATCTACACCGCTCATTGTGGAGGCAGATGAGGTGCAGCGGCCTTCAAGACAGGTGGAGGTTGCAGTGTATGAGGAGGAGATGTCTGGGGTGACTGAGGAAGGGGGAGCAGCTGAATTGGAGCAGCAGCAACAGCAGCATGAGTCTCCACCTCGAGTTCCACACCCGCCTGAGCGACCTAGGAGGGATGTGCGCCCTCCGGTGAGGCTGGCCTATGGGGGAAGAGGCAAGCCGAATGTGGTGCAGGCTGGGATTGTGGTTGAGCAAATTGAGGAAGATGAGATCGCTCACTGCTACTGGGCACCAATCCCTGAGCCCAAGACTCGAGAGGAGGCCTTGAATGGACCAAATGGGGAGAAGTGGAAGGCGAGTGAGGATGAGGAGTTCGGGTCCCTGATTGAGAACGAGACATGGGACCTGTGTGACTTGCCTCCTGGGAAGAAGGCAATCACTTCCAAGATGATCTACAGGCACAAGTATGGACCTGAAGGGGAGCTGACCCGCTACAAGTCTAGGCTTGTGGCACGGGGGTTTCAGCAGACAAAGGGGAAGGACTATGATGAGGTGTTGGCGAAAGGAAACACACTGAGGGTACTGTTGGCGATAGCTGCACTCCTGGGTTGGACGATTCGGCAGATGGACATTGTGACTGCCTTTCTGAATGGGATCATTCTGGAGGAGGCGTACATGAAGCAGCCACAGGGGCTGGATGATGGGAGCGGCAGGGTCTGCAGGCTGAAGAAGGCCATCTATGGCCTTAAGCAGGCGCCTCGTGCACGGTATCACAAGTTGGAGGAGGCGCTGCTGGCTGGGGGTTTTAAGATGCTGGAGATGCAGTTCAAGTGCTCCAAGATGGGTGAGGTAAAGTACTACCTGGGGATGCATGTGGAGAGAGATGTGGAAAAGGGTGTGCTGAGGTTGCACCAGAAGAAAGTACTATGAGGGGCAGGCTGAGAAGTATGGGCTGCAAGATGGGGGAAAGCCAGCAGCACCACTACCTTCGGAGTTTACTGTGGAGCCATGTGCTGATGAGGAGGTAGTGGGTGAGAGTAACAGGAAGCTGTTTCATTCGATGGTTGGGTCTCTGAACTATGCTGCAAATCATACACGGCTTGACATTGCATTTGCTACATCACGGTTGGCGAGTGTGGTCTCACGCCCTAGCCATGAACAGCTGGAAGCGGCCAAGAGGTTGGTCCGCTATGTGAGTGCTACGTCATCAGTGGGATTGGAGTATAGTGGAGTAAGGCAGTGGTTGCAGAGAGGTGCTGCAGATGTGAAGAGTGGTGAGATGCTCTTGAGTTGCTATACTGACGCTAGCTTCAACTCAGTGAAAGCGGATGGCACCAGCATTGGGGGTTATGTGTGCTTGCTGGGAGGTGGTGCTGTGAGCTGGCGCAGCAAGAAGCAGAATGAGGTGGGATTGTCCTCATGTGAGACTGAGTACATGGCCTTACACCATGGGGCCAAGAAAGTGGTGTGGCTGAGGCGCTTGTTGGAGGAGTTGGGAGTTGGCCAAGAGGAGCCGACAGTTGTGTTCTGTGACAATGAGTCTGCAGTGAAGCTGGCCAAGAATGCTTGTCTGCATGGGCTGACAAAATACATCAGGCCTAAGTGGCATTGGGTGAGGAGACTCCTTGATAAGGAGGTGCGGCTGGAGATAGTGAAGACCCATCAGTAGGCAGCAGATATTTTCACTAAGCAACTGGCGGAGGCGGATCATTGGAAGGGCATGAAGCTTGCTAGGATGAGCGTGCATTGAGTATGCATGCTTGAGATGTGGTATGGTGGATGATGGTTGGCAGCCAGAGGGGGAGATTGTTGTGTGATGTCATCATATGCTATCACATTCTGTCTGCCTCCCATCTCATGTTTTCAACTGGCATGTGTGTATTGAATGTGTGTAAGCATTTATGCGTGGTGTGTTCTGGAGTTTGGGAATGTGTTTTGCGTTATTTTTGTTTGAGCAGGTATTTGTGATGATAGATCTTGAGAAGATCTTTCCAACGCAACAAGAATCGCTTCAATCGGAGCAAGAACGCGAAAACTATGAAGATTCAAAGTTAATGAGCTTGCGTTACAATTACGACCGTTACAAAGTGAAGTTGTAGGGTGACTCTATATGGAGTTGGGACCATTAGGGGTTGGGGAATTCGTCACTCTACTGTAGCAGCTGCAAAATTGGTTGGGAACCACCAAGCTAGGTTGGCAAGGGTGGCCAACTTGGTTGGATTGGTTGGGAAGGGACAAATGTCAAAGTTGGGGTTCCTATAGGGAGGGAATGTTTGTGCTTATGGGGTTTCCTTGGTTGGGGACTCTCTTGGGACCTTCCCTCTCATCCCTCTCTTCTATCCCAGCCTTTCTTTTGCTCCTCTAATTCCTTGTGAGATTCTTGAACTTTGATTGAACTTTTGAGATTGAGTTAAGTCCTCCTCCTACAGCTTACCCCCCAATGCGTCGAAAAACATAGCGTCGCGAATACTCCATCAATCGATGTGATTCAAATTGAGAACGGTAGCTAAGATTACAAGCTACAACATATCTGATTTTCGTGACAGTCCAACGGCTAGTGTTTTGTCGACGTTGTTTCTTGTGAAGACGACTTTTCTGTCCAGAATTTCGGATTTATATTTTGACTAATTCTAGCTCCTAAGTTCACCTAGACTCCGTCCTTAATCCCAACAAGAACGAGTGACACGAAGGTAGTTAGACAGAGGGGGAGACGCGACAACGACCGATGACAGAGGAGGCAAAGGTATGAGGGGAGGACGAGACGCGTGGGAACGAAACAACATAGGGTGAGAACGGTAAACAGGAAAGACAGGGCGAGCACAAGAGGGACGGCGAGACCAGACGAGAGATGGAGGCGTCGGGTCAGGAGACAGAGGAGGAGACACAAGAGGGGAACGAAGGGGGAGATGAGCCAGAGATGAGTCCGGGGGAGGGAACACAGGGCCATAGAAAGGAAGAGGACGAGGCGGCGGGTGAGGCGCAGGCGAGCGGCCAAGGGAGGGAAGGCCGAGCAGGCGAAGGGCGGACACCTGCGGCGACTGCTGCTGCTGCTGCTGCTTGACGTCAACACCTGGACCACCAGCGACACCACGACTACCTTCGGAAGACTCCACTCCAGCACCCCCAAAACGAGCAACCCCAGAGCAAGAACTCTCTCCAGCATCGGTGCCACCCTAGGCCCGCCGGGACAAGCCACGATAGGAGCCACAGAACTAGCACCCTCCTCAACGCCATCAACCCCCGAGTCCACAAACGGCTGCGGCTGCGGTGGTGGCGGCTGCTGTTGCTGCGGTGATGACGACGACTGCGGCGGCTGCTGTTGCTGCGGTGATGACGACGACTGCGGCGGCGCCTGCGACGGCGTAGGAGGGCAGCTACGACCCACGGGATAAGAACGTCAGACATGTCGGCCTTCCGCTCCAGGGGAAACACCGTGGTGTAACGCCTGTAGTCGTTGACGAGCACGAGAAAGTAGCGCTCGCGACGAGGTCCAGGGACGAGGGCTGGGTCCCAGACGTTCATGTGCAGGGTTTGGAGGGGTGCGGTGGCAGGGCGAAGCGAGGAGGAGTGAGGAGCACGGCGGAGCCGACCCTCGACGCAGGGCGTGCACGGCGGCGCAGGAGAGGGAGGGAGGGTAAGAAGCGACGCAGGAGACCTAGGATGAGACCATGCTGAGACACGTGACACAGACGCGGGAGTTTGGAGAGACCTAGGCGGTGGTACCATAGGAGCGACGGGTGAGTGAGCGACCGACACGAGAAAACAGCGGCAACCAGGGTAGACGCAGGGCCTTGGGAGGACGCCCCAACCGGGGTGGAGCAGTGTCCAGCGTAAACAAGCCAAACACTAGGTCCCGGGGGAATGTCGCAAGGAGGGAGCCTGAGGCGGCCTCGGTACAGACAACGTACTGCTTGTGACCAGGGAACGTAATGGTGACGCCGAGGTCTTGAAGACAGTCGACACCAACTAGGTTCCTGGAGAACGAAGGGACGTGCAGGCCTGTAAGGGAACCCGAGGGAACCACAGGATAGGGAAGGGTAGTGTAGCTACGAGCAACGCCAGGACCAGCAGAGGGGTCAGCAAGTGCGATAGCGGCAGGCGCGGCAAGCGGCGTAAGTGTGGCGCGGTCACGGAAGAAGCAGGCAGACGCACCGGATTCATGTATAAAGGACAGCTAAGCAGGAGCGGCAGATGAAGGAGGGGCGAGTTTAGAGCCTAGGCTAGACAAAGCAAAGGGTCCTACGCCTGACGCAGCAGGATGGTCTGTACTGCACAC